TATGCCACACATAGAAACCAAATGGAGAGGCTACATGTAGGTGTTCCAGCCCCTAGACAGCCGGGATCCAGCTCCAAACCAACATAGACCACCAGATGTTTGCATGAAGATGTTTGCACATGATTCAGGCCCCCAACTATCATCCCACTGCAGAGAAGAAAGGAGGAGTAAAAAAGGCCTAAGAGAGAGAGCAACTTCATAATTACTTCAAAAAAAATGAGTTGGTAAATTTATCATGTTCCTTCTATTTCCTTATTGCCTAGCAAGAAGGAAATTAAGAGATTAGATCAGTAAGAAACAAATAAAGAACCCCCCCCTCCACATTTTCTTTGCCATCTTTGTTATATTTTCAATAAATTTGTGATTTTACTATAAGTTATAGTCAAGAAGAGTCATTCTCTACAAATTCATTTTCATTGTAACCACACTTTTCCAATTTGAGTTTAAAAACATTATTTGAAAAGACACTCCATTGACTTATATAATAAGTTCTTCCATATCTTTCCTGATTTAAGAGAAAAACAAACATTTTCTCCCATTTCCCATACTCACACTGCACATCTTTATATTCTATAGAGATATAAGATTATTTATATCAGCATATCCCCTTGTCTTCCCACCTCAAGAGGAAGTATGAATCAATTACGATTTACATTTTCTAAGGGAATACTAAAAAATATCCCCTCCCAGATCTTTAGAAATATTAGACCCATGACAAAGTATACAAGAGTTGTTTCAAAGGGTTGGGGTAAGAAGATGAAGAATAAGAGATTCTTGGAGACTGGGAAAGCTGTAATAGTTTTCCACAGTGTTGTGCTTTTGTGTGGCTCACCCTTGCTGCGTATCAGAGGTGACTGGACTGGGAGGTGGATGCCTGTGGAAGTTAGATATCAAGCACCGTGGGTTTGAAAACAAATCAGTGGAAAGGCATTTGAGAGAGACAACATTTAGCCTTCCCAGAGCACACAAATGGCAAAGCACCAGTAAGAGTAGCCATGGAAATTATAATGAACCAACCACACCATTTGTTTTCTGACATTAGTTAACCTAACAATTCCCGTGGTTCCAACCAAGGCAGAAAAAACAACAACAAAGGAACAAAAGACACTTTTCTTCTGACCAATATCTTTCTTAAAAAGCACCCTTTTGTGCAGGTTTTTACTATAATGACATGTGTGTTAAGTGTCTGCCTAAAGCAACAACTTCAATGAATACTGTACTACATGCTGATGACATCAGAAAAAATTAGTAATTTGCTAATCAACAAACATGAGGTGAAGAGAAATAATACAATTCATCAGCAAAAAGAATTAGCACAACTTCTCTCTGGGGTTTTCATGAGGATTGTGTGAAATATGAACTGTTATTACTTTTCTATTGCTATTATAATAAATTAAAACAAACTCATAATCTAAATACAACTTGCTATTTTACCATTATGTAGCATAGAAATTTTGACAAGGGTCCTCACTGGCATTGTCAGGGTATTCCTTCTGGAGGCCCTAAGAGAGAATCCCTTTATTTTTTTAATTCTACAAGCTATCTGCAATCCTTGGTTCATAGTCCCCCTCCCTCCATTGTTAAATTCAGCAACATTTGGCTGAATCCTCATATCACATCACTATGAACTTCTATTTTGCCTCCTTTTCCCACTTTGAAGGATTCATACCTACTGGGCTCATCCAGATAATCCAGAATGATATTCCCATTTTATGATCAGCTGATTATCAATTTTATTTATTTATTTTTTAAATATATATATTTGTATTGATTTCAGAGAGGAAGAGAGAGGTAAAAACATCAATGATAGGAGAGAATCAATGATTGGCTGTCTTCTGCACGCCCCCCACCTGCGGATCAAGCCCACAACCAGGGCATGTGCCCTGATGGGGAATCAAACCATGACCTCCTGGTTCATAGGTTTGCACTCAACCACTGAGCCATGCCAGCCTGGCTGATTAGCAACTTTAAATTCTCTTGGCCATGTAATGTAACACATTCACAAATTCTAGAAATTATGATTGACCATCTTTGGGGGTATTAATTCTGCTGATCACCAATATGCACCACCTAGCCAACTCCCTAGCAAATGCTAATCAGCCAATAAATGTTAGTTCTTTCCTACACTCCATATTAGCCCTCTCAGACTGCCCTAAAAAGTCTCAGTGACATAAACAACAGAAAATTATTTCTCATAATTCTAGGGGCAGGGAAGTCTAACATCAAGATTAATTCCTGGTGAAAGCTCTCTTACTGATTTGGAGACAGCATCTGTCTTCACATGAGGAAAGAGTAAGCAAGCTGTCTGTTGTCTTTTTTTTTTTTTTTTTTTATAATAATCCTGTATGATTGGGGCGGGGGAGAGGTCCCAACTTTATGTTCTAATTTAATTACTTCCTTTAGAGGCCACATCTCCAAATAGTCATCCTGGGTTAGGGCTTCAACATAAGAGTTTCAAGGAAACACATTCAGTCCATCCCACTCTCTTGCCTCGAAGTCCACACTCTTTCTCCCTACCATCTCCAAGATGCCCACCTAATCTTATCTATTGAATAATTCACATATTGTCATATCAGGCATGCCCAATGGGTACTTTAATTAAAACTATTAATTCCTATGGCCTTAATGTTTGTCCAAAACTCCCATATGTGTAATCTTAGTCTGTTTTCTCTGCACTTAAATTCATATAACCAACTGCTTTCTAGATATCTCAATTTGTATGTTTCATAGGCTCCTCAAATTCTACATACATTATTTAAACACATTAACTCAACCCTTTCCCCAACCCCCTCCCCCCCAAAATTCTCCTTGTTCTGTTTCTCATTTCAAGATATGGTACTGCCTCATTTGATAGACTTTCAAATCCTAAACTCGAAAGTCACCTGACTCTTTTTTCCACGTTCAATAAATTATCAAATATTAACAATATTGTCTCCTATTATTTCTTAATTACAATCCTTACCACATCCCATCTTGCTCTGTCATCCCTTCATTCCTCCCTATATCAAAGCCAGCTTACTAGTCTTTCTTTATCCACTCCTGTTTCCTCTCTTTCTTTCTATTCAAAGGAGTCAAAGTAATCACTCCCCTACTAAAAGTGAACTCTTGCTATTCATGTAGCATATAAGATCCTCCATGATTTTATATGCCACATAAGATTTTTTTTTACCTTATCCATCAGTGTTGAAGTTTCAGTGTAGAGTTTTCTCACTCTCAAATGCTTTACCATCTTTTTTCACACATATTATTTCCTCCACCTATAATAATCTCTCCCCTCATCGTAAGTCTGGTAAAAGTCTACTTATCTAGCAATTCACTACTTAACCTCTCATTCTTTAGAAAGGACTTACCTATTTCCTAAATTAAATTCTTTTTGCTGTAACATTTCATGGCTGTTGGGGAAGAAAAACTTTTCCTCTATCCTCATAGGTTTAGTTGTTTGTTTGTTTGTTTTTTTTTGGGGGGGGGCTGCAAATTAAACTGACAACAAATAAGCAAGAGAACAGACAAGATTTAGTCACACCTAAGGGAATTCAAAGAAAAATATGACTCAAGAAAGGAATTAGAACTTGGGGCTTAATGGTATTTTAACAGAGGAAGAAGAGGAAGAAAAGGTTCTTAAGGGAAAGCAAAGGACTTTTAGGAAAGAGAAATTGGCTTTATGAGAATAGATGGAAGATAGGATAGTTTTTTAGAATGTCTGTTTAGGTGTGGTGCTGACTTTATAGCCTCCAGTGGTAGAAATTAGTTTTCCCTGGTTCCTCCCCCCAGGGAAGGGATTTATAAAAATTGGGTTCTTTGGGAAGGCTCTGCTTTTAGACAGATAAGCAATTTCAGGAAATCAAATCTATCTGCTCAAAATATGTTTTATGCCACAGAGGCAGTATTCTGTAACCTTCCCAGCATGGAGTATTTTCTTTCTTAATTCATTGCACACTAATTTCTTTAGCCTTTATTTTCTTAAGATTGCACAAAATGAAAGCTGACGCCCTACTTCCTTTATTCAATGGGTATCCAAAATCCTTTAAATCAGTAAAATGTGCAAATAAACTGATTCTCTCTTTGTGAACATCCAAGCCTGCGTGTCTCAATCCGTTGATTATTCAAGAACAGCTAGATCCTTAGTGGTCTGATCAATCAATGACAGAGAACTTCATATGAACACATGACTCTTCAACTGATGTTTAATTTAATTGTTTAACTGCACTGTACTGAACATGCTCATTTCATGCTGTTGGAAAAGGTAGCAGTGAAAATCCTTTTAAAAAACACAGGGATGGTCCTAACTGGTTTGGTTCAGTGGATAGAGCATCAGCCTGAGAACTGAAAGGTCCCAGGTTGGATTCCGGTCAAGGGCATGTACCCTGCGTGCGGGCACAACCCCAGTAGGAAGTGGGCAGGAGGTAGCTGATCGATCTTTCTTTCTATCCCTCTTCCATCCTCTCTGTAAAAAAAAAAATCAATAAAATAAATTTTTAAAAAACGGCAGGGACATTTATATACTTAATTAAATATTTGAAACAGGTGCCAGGCAGTTTCCAAGACGTAGCACTAGAAAAAGGTTAACTCCTTTCATTTCTTTAGGGACTTTTAGGAGAAAATGCACCTTCCCACGGGTCCTTTCACAGTGTCAATATTCACTACCCAGGGCCTAATTGGACGCAAACTCCAGATTTTTACCATGAAGAACATGGAAACAAAACCAATCTCCTCACTTGTTGGGCGCAGGGAGAAAAAAAACCTCGTCGCCTTTTGCTTGCTCTCCCTCCAGAAGCAAGCAGGTAAACGTCCGACCAAGGGAACCTCAGCTAGGACTTCATCAGAGCCAAGCGCCCGCGGGCCGGTGACATCACCGGAAGTGGCCGCTTGTGACACTCAAAGGCCCGCCTTCTCGCGCTGGGCGCCGGAAGGAAAGCGGAAGTGGATGTGCATTCGCTTCCGGTCCCGGTCGCCATTTCTATCGGTTGCGGGTTCTCACGCGTTGTGGTCCGCCGGGGACAATGAGCTATGACTACCATCAGAGCTGGGGCCGCGACGGCGGAGGCCGTGAGGGCGGGCCCCGCGGCTCCGGCGGCGGCTACGGAGGGAGCCACGGCGGGGGGCATGGCGGGAGTCGAGGCTCCGGAGGCGGCGGCGGCGGCGGCGGAGGGGGTGGGCGAGGAGGCCGAGGCCGACATCCCGGGCACCTGAAAGGCCGCGACATCGGCTTGTGGTACGCGAGGAAGCAGGGCCAGAAGAGCAAGGAAGCCGAGAGGCAGGAGGTAAACCGAGACGCGATCGTGCCAGCCAGGCCATGAGGAAGAAGAGCTTTTCTTTACTTTTTTTTTTTTTTTTTCCCCCCTCTGCCGCCGCCCCTAACTTTTTCTTTGTGTCTGTTTGGTGTCTTGACTTGGTTTCCTCACCGGCATAAGAGCTTGGTGAAGTGGGTGTGAAGTGCAGAGGAACTGTGCTAACGCTTCCTCTGGGCATGCTTCCTCGGCGGCCGTGCGCCTCTGACCCGAAGCAGGCAGGGCTTTGGTGGGATGGACGTGTGTTTGGCCCGAGAACGCGAGGACGGGGCACAAAGCCAAGGTTCGCTCCAGGCCCCAGCAGAGATGGACTTGGCTGGGATGTCACTGTCAGAGCATCTGTGGCCGCCCCCTTTCCCTTAGAACAGTGTTTCCCAAACCTCTCTCATGATGAGAATCACCTGGTGGAGTTGTTTAAACTACAGATTCCTGAGTCCCAACTAACAAGTGCTAAACCAGAATTTTGGGGAACATAGAGGTAAAATTAACTAGAGCACTAGGTAAGTATACAATTTTACCTCTATGTTCCCCAAAATTCTGGTTTAGCACTTGTTAGTTGGGATTCAGGAATCTGTAGTTTAAACAACTCCACCAGGTGATTCTCATCATGAGAGAAGTTTGGGAAACACTGCCTTAGAACAATGATGGTCACTTTTAAGATTTTCACCCTTTAGGATCATTCCGATCGCTTTCATTTAAGATTTATTTTTTTTTAATTTATTTATTTTTTTTTTGCCTGATGAGCTCTACACAAGCGACCCTCTCTGCATTAGGTAAAGCCTCCAAGCACTATTTTTTTTTCCCTTCATGTAGATCGTTCAGAAGAATAATCCAGCTTTCATTGTTAGTATTTATAACAGCCGCAAACCCCACAATAACTTTCTAAAGACGCTTTGCCAAGTTTTTATCTGCCCCTGTTTCACGCAAGGTTGTATGCAGGTTGCTAGGGGGCGGGTCCGAAGAAGTAAAATAGCCAAGTAACTGACAGTCCAGTTGGGGAAAATGAAACGGAAACAAATGAAAAGTTAAATCAGGAATAATGGTGCATGATCCCTTCCACCTGAAACCAGTTGGGCCATGGGCCATTACCAGGGGAACTGTTGATTTCCAACCCCTCCCCAAACAACCTCCATTTTTGTAAAATGTCATTACTGTGGATTCACTTGCCAAGGCCAAAATACTTAATATATCCCAAGCCAAATCACAATTACCTTAGTAGGTCAAGCCCCTATTGTATTTTCTGTTCCCTGCCACCTGGGTGTTTGTTTTTGTTTTAAAGTTGAAGAGGTTTGACCTTGTTCATGTACTGCTGCTCAGGGGGTCAGTGGCGAGAGAAAGTACATCAGAGTGGGCCAAATCTTGCAGTAGTAATAAACAGCCCCCAAATCAGCGGCTTACAGCAACAGAGGCTTGTTTTTCTATTCCTGTTACTTGACCATTGGAGTTCAGATGAGCGTTTTCATTGTGAGAATGAGTTTGAGCATCACTGGTTTTGCTGGCAGCCAGGAGGGAGCACAGGAAATAACCCCTGATTCTTGGAGACTCCCATTCACATTTCCCTGGCCAGTAAATGATGGCCATGCTTAACTCGGGGGTGGGAAAATGCAGTTCTACCATATATCTAGAAATAAGCAAACCAGAATATTGATCAGTAGCCTAATGACTGCTAGAGAAAAAGAGAGATTTAGGAAAGGAAGATAAGCCTCAAAAATAGGAGATAGCCCTAAAGAGGTGAAAGGAATTGAGCTGCAGGGTTTAGGTAGAGAAATGAACTTTAAGCAGGAAAGTGGACTCCTTCCATTTTAATAGAAAGGGAAAGAATAAGTGATGGGTTCTGGTAGTGTTGGGTTTAGGCTTGGTTGCAAGTAGTTGAGGAATTTTCCTTTTTTGTGTTTGTGAATACTGTGTGTGAAATTATGAGGGTGAACTGGAAGGTGGTATTGGAGTGTTACCGAAAGGAGAAAGTTTGAAATAGTGACAGATAATTCAGAAGCTGGTAAAGTAGACATAGACATTCTGCTGGACATTATTGAGGATCTCTTTTGCCAGGAAAAAGATAAAAACTATTTGAAGATATCTGGGGAGGCAGAGGGGTAATTAAAAAAAAAATCAAATCAAAACACAATGTGTGTGAGTTTTCAGACAGGGGTGAGGTAAAGTGAAGAGGGATGGGATTGGAAGATTAGAAAGGATGCAGCTTACAAATTCTCACCTGCTTGTAGCCTCTGGACCTTCGATGTGCGGAGAGACTCATTAGAATTAATTTATAAAATATGTAAATTTTGCCCCGGCCAGTGTGGTTTAGTTGGTTGAGCGTCATCCCATGAACCAAAAGGTTGTTGGTTTGATTCCTGGACAGGGCACATGCCTGGGTTGCAGGCTCCATCTCTGGTAGGAGGCAACCAGTCCATGGTTCTCTCTCTTTCTCTTCTTTCCTCTCTCTAAAAATCAATGAAAACATTTTTTTAAAAAAGGTAAATTGTGTTCTTACTAAAAAGTATCAATTATGTTTTCGGGGGCTATTTTATTTTTCAATCATTTTGCCTTTTTGTCACTATCTTAAACTCATGTAACAAGGTGAGGAGGTGAACCTTTCTTCTGATAGTAGAGGTAAAAGCTTCAAAATGTAAAGTTCGAGTTGGTGTAAGAAATGCTTTGCTGTGAGTCAGTTTCAGTTGGGAAGAAATTGTTCTTCTAGTAGACATGACATAATCTTCTCTTTGCCATTTTGAAAACGAACGAAAGAAACAATGGCTTTGAGCCCTTGACGTAGTTGGAAAGGGTGTAAAAATTTAGAAAGCTTTATTTGAGGAGACTGTCTTGGGGCTTCCTTCTCAGCGAAGTCTTTAGTTAAAGTATTGCTGTAGATTCATAAATTTCTAACTGCCAAGAAAAGACATAGTAATCAATAACCATCTAATGTAGTTCACGGAGCAGTAAATGTTAATATATGTCAAAGACATTTCAAAATTTAAACCATAAAGGGAAATGTTCTATTATTGAATCTGTGTGTGTGTGGCGGGAGGGGGTAGGAGAGCAAAGACCATGATTCACTAGGAGGAATCACAAAACTCTGAAAAGCTGGCGTACTCAGTGAGTTTTTGCTTGCTTTTACAGCAAATTATTACAGATTAAAATCAGCAAAGATAAAGGTGCATAGGGCAGAATCCAGGAGAAACCAGTTTTAGTGGACATGCCCTATAGAAGAAAAGATACATTAGTCCATATATAAACAGTCTTAAAAAGATTTTTATGCTGCACAGTTAAGAACAACAGACAAAATTTCGTGGTTTAGTGTTTGTCAATAATTAGGTTTTGCTGCAGTTCGTAATTTTCTAAGGCTTTTCTATTAGCCAGAATTTTGCAGTATTAAACTATTTAATTGTCTGAATATGCTTTTAGTAAACCCTTTAGTGAGTTATTAGTACAGATCTTCTGGAATTTCCCAAATACCTCATTGTCTTCTTTTTGTGTACGTGCTTATTGAGAAAAATGGTTTTAACACAAATGTCATATATTATCATCTTAAAGGATAGATTCAACCATTTATCCATTCTTTGGACAGACTTATCTGGAACATCTAACATGTGCCAAAAATATATCTGGAAAAAATACTGCAAAAAGTGTAGACTTATCAAGTGAATAACTTGTTTAAAAAATTAATAGTAACCAAAACAAGATCCTACTGCACATTTTTTGCAACTGACTTTTTTTCAGTTAATACCTTGGCCATCTTTACTGTGTGCACACTTGAAGACAAACATCTATCCACTCATTTACTGGATTTACTTATAATTCAACTAATTATAATTTACAGTTATAAAAGAACAGTTTTTAAAAGTTCTTTTTCTAACTTTGTACAGAGTAACTAATAACTTCCATGTATTATTCCCTTCCAATAAAATAATGTAATATTGTCTCTGCTGTGCTTTTTTTTTTTTTTTAAATACATTTTTTTAACTGATTTTTAGAGAGGAAAGGAGAGGGAGAGAGAGAGAAACATCAATCAGCTGCCACTACTGGGTATCAAGCCTGAAACCCCAGCATATGCCCTGACCTGGAATGGATCCTCTTGGTGCGAGAGAAAATACTCAACCAATTGAGCCACACCAGCTGGGCCTCTGCTGTGTGTGTGTGTGTGTGTGTGTGTGTTTGTTTGTTTGTTTTAAATTTATTGATTTTGTACAGAGAGGAAGGGAGAGAGATAGAGAGCTAAAACATTGATGAAAGAGAGTCATCGATCAGCTGCCTCTTGCACACCCCCTACTGGGGATATGCCCACAACCAAGTTACATGCATTTGACCAGATCGAACCCAGGGCCCATCAGTCCCCGATGCTCTATCCATTAAGCCAAACCAGTTTCGGCCTGTTTGTTTGTTTTTTAATAATCCTCATTCTGTGAGGAAACTGCATCATTTACCATATTGGATCATCATCTCATGAACACTGATCATTTTATGTTATTTTCTCTGATTCCAATTTATTCCTTTTTTTATGTAAGAACTTTAAAATGCTCTTAAAATTCTCATTGCAACCAAAATAGTATTTCCAATTTTTAACTTAATGCTTGTTTTTAAACAGAATATTGGGTTTCATTAACTTCAGTTGTAGGTGTCTGAAAATTTAAGGTAGGGAACAAATTCATGATATGTGAGGATAGAAGGTAAGGGTACCCCAAGTTTTAGGAAGGAACATAAATATGCATTTTTATCCAGTTACACTAGACTAATTTTGTACATATATATTAGAAAGGGATCTTGAAAGAAAAATGTTATCATTAGGTTTAGGAATTGGATTTGGGTAAGAAGGCAAGTGTGGTACTAGTAACATTAATTTTCAATTACATGTTTGTTAAACATATATTTGCCTGCATTTTGTATCAGATAATTTTATATATGCTTTCTCATGTTGATGAAGATGCTTTTTCTTTGCCCAAAATAGAGAGCCGTAGTACATATGGATGAGCATCGAGAGGAACAAATTGTACAGCTACTACATTCTGTCCAAGCTAAGAGTGACAAAGATTCAGAAGCACAGATATCCTGGTTTGCTCCTGAAGATCATGGGTAAAACAAAAAGTATTCTTTTAAAAAATGAGCAGAGTGATACTTCTTTCATAGCATTGGCTAGGGAAAAAATGATAATATAAATTATATCTTTAGACTCTTTAATAAGTGAAATTTAGTCTTAAAGTCATTATTATTCTTATGTAGTTGGAGCAGATTTTATGAAAAATTAAACAAAAATAGCATATTCTACAGGAAAGCTAAGTGATAGGAATAGTCTTATCTGCATATGAGATTTATCAAGTTATTTATTGTACCCATCATTTATGTATTTCCAAAATTTTCCTGTGGGGCAGATCTGCAAAAAGTGCTGCTGTCTTAAGAAAATCACAGAAACTAATTTAGAAAGAAGATTAGTGAAAATTTTTCTGGGACTGTAATATAGCATCTGGTTTATAGCTCAGAAAAGGTGGCAGGAAGAAAAAGTTGTAAAGCAAAACAAGGCTCATAAAAAGAAAATCACTAAGTCATAATTGCCACAAGGAATACCTTATCTGGCATTATTTACTAGGGAGGAAAATTTTTATTTTAAGTCTTTAACTGTTTTCATAATTGCTTTACTCAAGAGAAAAGAATAAAAGCTTTTGATTTTGGTGATTTTGAATAACTAAATAGTATATATTGTTTTCTTTCAGGGCTTGAGTAGTTATTTAACCCTTTTGTCATTTTTATTTTTATTTGTCCAAATAGGTATGGTTCTGAAGCTCCTGCTGAGAACAAACCAAACTCAGAGAAGAAATTGGAGGATCCCGGGAAAAAAGTGATAAATCAAGAAAAAAAGACATTTAGAATCAGGGACAAATATATGGACCGAGATTCTGAGTATCTCTTGCAAGAAAATGAACCAGATGTAAACTTAGACCAACAGTTATTAGAAGATTTACAAAAGAAAAAAACTGACCTTCGGTATATTGAAATGCAGGTAATGGGAAGCAAGATGTGGAAAAATTTGTACTTGTCTTCTCAAACATGATAAAATTACATATATATTTATGTATGTGTATATATATATGTTTTTAAATATATTTTTATTGATTTCAGAGAGGAAGAGAAAAGGTGAGAAAGAGATAGAAACATCAATGATGAGAGAGAATCATTGATCGATTACCTCCTGCACTTCCCCTACTAGGGATCGAACTCGCAACCTGGGTATACGCCCTTGACTGGAATCAAACCCAGGACCCTTCAGTCCGCAGGCCAATGCTCCATCTACTGAGCCAAACTAGCTAGGGCAATCTATAATAATAAAAGCAAAATATGCTAATTAAACCAGACGTCCTTCTGGACATCCTTCTGTCCTTCCTGACAAAGCCAGGGCTGCACTAGAATGAATTACCTGACCATGACAAGGATGGCATGTAGAGCATTGTTAATAACAGCACTATATTATATATTTGAAAGTAGCTAGGAGAATAGATCTTAAAGTTCTCTTTGCAAGAAAAAGTATAACTGTGTAGTGATGGATATTAACTAGACATTGCTGTGATCATTTCACAATATATACGGATGGATAGTGAATGATTATGTTGTACACCTGAAACTGGCATAATGTTATATGCCAAATTATGTCTCAACGAGAGACCTGATGCATGAAATTCGTGAAAGGGCCCTTGCAGCCCTGGCTGCCTTGGCTAGCCCTGACAGCCCCTCACAGCCTCCGCTGGCCCTCGCAGCCTTAACCGGTCTTCGCAATCCCAGCTGCCTTGGCCAGCCCTCTTAGCCCTGGCTTCCTCCAGAAGGTCATTCTGCTGTTTGGTCTAATTAGCATATTAGCTCTTTGTTATATAGGATAAACTAATATTAGGGGACTTTGACATAGTCTCCATCTTAACAAATCAAATGGGCAAAAAATTAACAAGGATAATGTTTCAATAATTTAAAAAGCATGGCAGTAATATACTAGATTACTTAGTGTAGTTCTAAGTTTGCATTTTCCCCCCCTTTTCAATAAAGAGGGTTTGTTAAAACTATGGTTTACTTTTTTATAGCATTAAAGTTTATTTTATACTTGAGGCCCACTGCACGAGATTCATGCACTGCAGGGGGAGGAAGGGGTCCTTCAGCCTAGCCTGCTCCCTCTCGCATTCCAGGGCTCTCACAGTCCAGGACCCCTTGCTCCTTACCACCTGCTTGCAGTGGATCCCTCGCTTCTTACCGCCCGCCTGCCACTGAGGTCTCCAGCCATGAGCCAGGCTTCTGGCTGAGTGGCACTCCCCCTGTGGGAGTACACTGATCATAAAGGAGCAGCTCCTGCATTGAGTGTCTGTCCCCTGGTGGTCAGTGCATGTCAGAGCGACTGGTCTTTCCACTGTTCAGTCGATTTGCATATTATGCTTTTATTACATAGGATTATATAGGATGATCCATCTAATTCAGTGTCAACCATGGTGCTACTTTCTTACTGTATGTCATTTTTATGTAGTGTAGGTATGGGGTTCCATAAAGTTTTCAAAACTAGATATTATCATGTAAAAATTACAAAAAAGAATTAGTCATGCTATCTTTAGTATTTCTAATTGTAATTGTCAAAAAACATGTTGAGTAGCTAATATGTGTCAGAAACTGCTACTAGTTTTATATATAAAGGCTCTTCATTTAGATCTGTGGCAGCCCTAAGTTAAAACCTTTGGGACTCCCAAGTTGGACTTAAGGTCATAGTTCTTAAATGGCAGTACAAGATTTTCTTACTGCAGATATTGTTTTAAGCTTTCTATTATTCTCAAAGGTAAGTACGAAGAATACTTTGAATATGTTCTAGTAAATGGTGTGGATCAATGGGTGGGAAAAGAATGTGATATAGAAATAAAATCTAAGATGAATATATAAAACAAAGAGAAAAAATTGTAAAAGTAACTTGGGGGTAGTAAGAATGCTACTAGATGATAGGTCGGATTTCATTTTATTGTCACTCTTAAGAAAGTATCTCTGTTCTGTTGGATTTAATAGAGTTCTATTTTTTTATGTTTCGAACACCAAAGCAATTGCTGAGTTATTACTTAGTTCTTTTTTTATAAAGTTCTTTTTTAAGTCTTGATACTTCATGTAAGCTGAGGATAATAAAGTACTTTGTATTCTAGCATATTTATCAGTATATTCTGATTACCAATATTATAAATTCATTCCAGTTTTTGGTGAAAATTTATAACTTTTTTTTTTTTAATTTCAGCGTTTCAGGGAAAAGCTGCCTTCATTTGGAATGCAAAAGGTAAAATGATCATGCACTGTTTAATTTTATTTGTAAAATACTTGAATACAGGTGTGTTTTTTTACAGAGTGCTATGTTAAGAAGAAATAAAAATTTATCAACCTTTTTCTGAAGGATATTCTTAGAAACTCATTTTATTCTTTTGAATTGTTGAAGAAAAAAAAAGGTCATGAAACAATTTTTCTAAAGTTTGCGTATATTTATGTCCATAATTGAAATTTTTTAGAGTTTAAAAACAAGAATTTTCACAAAAAGTTATTTTGCTAACTTAGGTTTTTATTTTTTTTTCTTTATTTTAATTATTAGAAAGGAAATAATTTTAAATTACATTATTCTTTAAAACAGTATACAAAATTTGTCCTGCAGACAAAGCTATATTTATGAATTATAATATAAATTCTTAATGTCTTTAGTAGTTGTTTAGTTATCAGGATATTTGGCTTGTAATCAATAGTCCCATATAATCACATTCTTTTTAATTAATCCTTATGCATGGAACTTATGAGCTGTTAACTTTTTTGTTCTTATCGGTGTGTTTTTCTTTTAATAATTGGCTGAGTTCTTTTAATAATTTAGTGCTTCTTAGCTATTGAAAATTGGTATATCCAGAAACTCAAACTGTCAGCATTTCACATAAAATTTAAAAGGCGTTACTGTTTGTAGAAGCAATTACCTTCAGTTTGGTAGAATTTCGATAACTGTCTTTTCAGACTTAACATGGGATGTCCTTCACTTATTTTTCTTTTTAAAACAGGAATTGGTAAATATGATAGATAATCATCAGGTGACAGTAATAAGTGGTGAAACTGGTTGTGGAAAAACCACTCAAGTTACTCAGTTCATTTTGGATAATTACATTGAAAGAGGAAAAGGATCTGCATGCAGGATAGTTTGTACTCAGCCAAGAAGAATTAGTGCCATTTCCGTAAGTTTTAATAATAGTTTTCTCCTCCCCCCCCACTCCCCCAAGATCTGTTTTTTTGAATTAACAGTATAAGTAGTGAAAAGTAAAATAGTGATGTGTATGGGATACACTGATTAGAAGTTTTACTTCTAAAGTATTTCTTTAAAAGTAATCATGTCATTTTCTGTTTCTAACCTCTATCATCACTCTTGTGTTACAAGATGACTATTGTTTACTTTTAGTTATATAAATGAGTATGATTATAATAACATTTCATCTATCCAGAGCTTATCTTTGGCACTATAACTTTTAGAAAACAATGAAGAACTAGGAATTAAGAAACACCAATCTTGCCTGTCCAGTGTGGCTGAGTGGTTGGGTATTGACCCATGAACCAGGGGATTATAATTCAATTCCCAATCAGGGCACATGCCCAGGTTGTGGGCTCAATCCCAGGAAAGGGATGTGCAGGAGGCAGCTGATCCATGATTCTCTCTCATCATTGATGTTTCTATTTCTCCCTCCCTCCCTCTCTGAAATAAAAACATTTTAAAAAACTATAAACAAACTTTTTTAAAAATGAAAAAGAACCACCAGTCTAACCAAAAGAAACAACCAAATATAAAACTTGCATGGAATTTGAGGGTAAATACATTCTGTCCTATATAATAAAAATCTAATATGCAAATTGACTGAACGACTAAACAACCCAGGTGGTCAGTAAGCTACGACGCTTACTGACCACCTGGGAGCAGACGGTCAACGCAGGAGCTGCTCCCAGCCCTTAGGCCCCAGGCTGGCCAAGACGGGTGCCAACGGGGGCCTCCCAGTAGCCCTGCCAGTCACCCCACAGATTGGCCCTGATCGCCGGCCAGGCCTAGGATCCTATCTGTGCTCCAATTTCATGCACTGGGCCTCTAGTGTTAATATAAATTTAGAGCAGGATTTCCTACTCTTTTAGAAAAGACAAAAAAAAAGGGAAGAAATAATGAGAGGGTGGCTGTAGAAAGGCACTTTGAAAATAGTGAAGAAAGAGCATTTGGCTTTGGAGAACTTAAGAGAAAATGAAAAGTAAATATAAGAGGCGAGTAAATATAACAATCTCAGATTTTCATGGATGGTTAGAATATTTATACTAAAGGCAAATCTCTTTGTAACTGTATTTTATTTTAATTAAAGGTTGCAGAGAGAGTGGCTGCAGAAAGGGCAGAAGTTTGTGGCAGTGGTAATAGTACTGGATACCAAATTCGTCTCCAGAGGTAAAGGTATATTTTGTTTATTGTATATTGTTTATAGGTATATTTTAGTTAAAATTTGAAGCTAGAAATTAAAAAAGAACAGATTTTTCTCCATTTGTTTGCCAATTATAACTATTAGAATTAACATTTAAAGTAACTGAAGCATAGGAGGCTTTCAACTCTCATTTTGTAACCCACTTTGATATTTGGATTTTTAATACCTTTTATATTATGGAATGGTTTGAAAAATAACTTATTTCCTGGACATACATTAGTAGATCATCACTCCCCCTGAAAGGAGTTAGTGTCCTATATTTTGATACCATACCCAGCCCTGACCTACTTTATTGAGTTTGGTATCTGTAACTCCTATCCCACTGCATCGTTATTTTTTTAGTGTTTTTTTGTTGTTGTTGTTGTTGTTGTTTTATTTTTGTTTTTGTTTTTTTCCCCCCTGGAGATAAAGATTCCATTTATCTTTTTTAAATAACTGACTTCCTAGTCACTGAACAAAAGTTTAGGTCTGAAGTAATGAGTTATTTTCTGAATGTAGTGGTTATTTATGCCTTTATAAAATAAATAAATTATTAACATTGTATCATGACAAAAACAATGTATAATGAAATTGGATGTAGAATTTCTCATTCCCTAGCCTGGTAGGCATTTCTGTAACTAAAAAATTAAGTATGAAGATTTTCACGTAAAACTTTTTTAAAATTGAAAATGTTCGTTTAGATGTTTGTGGTACTTAATGTACTAGTAAAAAAAACAAGAATTGTTAACTTGTGCCTTTTATTTATAGCCGGTTGCCAAGGAAACAGGGCTCTATCTTATATTGTACAACAGGAATCATCCTTCAGTGGCTTCAGTCAGACCAGTGAGTATATTGCAATTCGGGATATTTAAGTCCTATAAAAGATGTAATTATTATATAGGATGTTAGTAATTGTTATACTGATTTACATACTTCACCACACTTTTGCTTCAGGCATTTGTCCAGTGTTAGTCATATTGTGCTTGATGAAATCCATGAGAGAAACCTGCAGTCAGATGTTTTAATGACTGTAATTAAAGACCTTCTCAATTATCGACCTGACCTGAAAGTAATATTAATGAGTGCAACATTGAATGCTGAGAAATTCTCAGAATATTTTGGTGAGTAAATTTTATGATTATTTGGGAAACTAACAGGTAATTAATAAAGTCAAACCACAAATCTGAATTATTTTATTAACATTTTATGATTCTTTTGTGGTTTTTATGTACTATTCACAGGCTAGAGAGGCAATTTGCAAATGACAATACTAGTGATTACTAGTCAGTGTGCCAGGTAATATATATGGCACTTTGTCTTTATTAATTTTCATAATATTTTGTGAGTTATTTGCTGTTATTTTTATTTTTAAAGATGAGAAAACCTCAGCACAATTAAGTAGTTTATCCAAGATTGCCTAATTAACAGAAGGTTGAGAGGATTTGAAATTAAATTTGACTAGCTGTAAAATATATGTTTTTTAAGATTATTCCTCTGTTTCTTATTTTTAATTGGGGAAGGAGGAGAAAAGGGTGGGAGTTAAAATGGAATAGAGCTATATTTAATATATGTTCTATTCAGCCTCGTTGACTCTCAAAGCCTGTGAGATGGGTCGAGTGTATTTGTCTTTTTTTTTTTTTTTTTTTTTTTTTTTTTTAATGCACAGTATCCAGAACTAACATTGAGTGACTTACTACTCAAATTTGTGAAAATCAGAGGCAAAGTTGTGATACCACTCAGTTACTTTGACCTCTGCTGTATTGTTGACCTTTGCTTACAGTGTGTACTGTTTTGTTTGGTACAAAATATGAATAACATCTAGAAAACAGTTCTAAAAATCTTTTTTTAAAAACTAATGATTCTAAAATAGTAACAGTTTAATATTTGATTAGGTCTTAACTACTTTTTTCAAAATTCTGGGTGCCACAGGCACTGCTTCATATATAGATTTAAATAAAATGGGTTCTAATGCAATATTCTGGCTAATGCTAAAGAGAAAATAGACTTCTAACTAATAGGTTTTAAGTTCAATTTAAAATACTTTGCCCTTTGGTATTCTGCATTACTTTGCAGAACTGTAAAGTAAATGGGGAAGGAGGAGGGAAGTTTAGTAGCATTAAAATGGTGTTGAGTGAAGGTTAGGCTGCTGCCTTTTATTGAACTAAATATAGAAAATAGGAGAGCTGTTAAAAGCTCAGGACCATTTTCTGAAGTTATAAAAAGTAATAGATTCCTTGTCCTTTTTATAGTGTTCATTTTTATTTTTAATATTTGAGTACAGACTTAATGTTGTTTTTTTTACCATAATAGGTAACTGTCCAATGATACACATACCTGGTTTCACTTTTCCAGTTGTGGAGTATCTTTTGGAAGATATAATTGAAAAAATAAGGTAAGTAAATATTAGGAAATAAAAGAGATTTTAAAATGCTAACGTGGTACCTTTTCTATCAAACTTTAATTTAGAAATTCACCCTTAACCACTTCCTTCTAAAACATTGTTAATGAATCCTTAAATCAGGGATTCTCACACTTGGTTGCACATTAAATCACCCTCAGCCATTTGGAATCCAGATGCTGTGATCACACACCATTCCTTAATCACATTACACGGTCTGGGCTGGCAGATAGGCATCAGTATTTTTCAGAGATCCCTGGGCAGTGAACTTTGGGAGCCTCTGTCTTTAGTGCTTGGACCTCGCTCTGGTTTTCTCATTCTTCACAATCTTCCGTCCCCTACCCTTTAAGTATGATTTTCTCCTCAGGTTCTCCATTAGCCTTTTCTCAGAATGTTGTGATTCCTGTGTGCAGTCATATTTCCATGACCACACTTCTGTATTTTCACAGCTTTTTGAACTACAACTTCAAAGCTGAAGCTCTTACTGAACTCTAAACTTGTTATCTAACTGTGCTCCATAGCATTCCAGTACCACAGACACCTTGAACCTCACATTTTTAAAATCAAAATCATCTTACATTCCAATCCCATCATGCTTTCACCGAAACAGTTATGCCTTATAATGATTACTAATGTTATCCTCCACTCAATTGTCTAAACTAAAATAAAAAAATCAAATACTTAATCAAATAATAAAAATAAAAATGAACACTATAAAAAGGGCAATGAATCTATTACTTTTTATAACTTCAGAAAATGGTACTGAGCGTTTACAGCTCTATCCTATTTTCTATATCTAGTTCAATAAAAGGCAGCAGCCTAGCCTTCACTCAACACCATTTTAATTTATCAAGGAGTTATATAACTAGGATAATTTAACTGCTTGTTTAGTAACCAAATTGCTCTTAAGTCATCCTGTATTCCTCCCATACCCACCCCAGCACAAACCCTGAGAGCTTTTGCCTTGATCATACATGTCTTCTCATTTTTGTTTCTTCTACTTAAGATCCATATTATCTCTCCTGTGCTAACATAATAGTTCCTCTTTTGGCATCATGATCTTCACTCTCAGAATTGCTTTCATTCTCTAGCATGCCAGCCATTGGCCTTTCATTCATGACTTTGTACTTGTTATATGTTATTTCCTCCTTTTAGACTTGATTTGCCACCTCCATTCTTTCTCCTATAAACTGTTGATTATGTAAAACTGAATTCCAGCTTCATTGTCCATTAAAGCCATCTCTGATCCCCTCATAGAATGAGTTGTTTTCTAATCCAGGCTCCTGTAGCACTTTTATCATGTCCCTTAAAACACTTATCACCATGTAAAGCGCCTCTTTATATTTGCCTTTTACAATAGATTTCAAAAGGTTCAAGGTCAAGGATTTTGTCCTCTTCATCTCTGTAACTAGTGCATAGCACAGTGCCTGACCTCTAGTAAACATCTGAATAAGTATAGGGACAGATGTAGAAACACTTGTGATGAGGTTTTTCAAGATTCCATAGCTTACTAGTTAAATGAGAAAATGAATAGTGGGAAAGTAACAAGAAAGATCCTACTGTCTATTTTATATGGAGAAAAGGCAGCAGAATTTTGTAGGCATTTAACAGATATTTTTTTAAACTTTATGTCTTGCACTGTGCCTTAGCGTTCTGAGAATAAAACAAGGCAAGATTTGGTAGAAACTTCACAGCTTATATTGAGGCAGGGAGACGTGTACACAGTTAATATGAGGAGTGATTAACCTGTTGTGAGAAAGTAGAGTGTATCGGGAATGAGATTATATGTAGCAGAGATAGGCTAGGTAAGTCAGAAAAGCAGTTAAATTCAGAGTAAGAAAGAGGGAAGTGTGTATGTCAGTGAGGGTAGAACATGTCTTCCATGCTCTGGTTTTATCGTGTCCATAAATTTTTATGCCTTTCCTCAATTGCACTTTCCACTATGTGTTCTGCTTCCTATCAGAGGACATTTATCAATTGTTTTCTAAGAGAATAAAAGTCAACGCCTGACAATAATGATGAAAAATACAGTTTCAGGGATCAGTAATCTAAAATTACATAAGGATGGATTGCTTTCTTAAGCTGTCTATAAGGCAGGTTATATGCAAGGAACTGTAGTCAAGAGCTCAAGGCAAAAGGATAGTATCCATTTGTAAAAGAGCTGCACTTACAGGGAAGAAGGAGGGAAGAAAATAGGGTGAGATGAGATGGAGGGTTGTGATTGGGCTCTTGGGGTGGGGGTTGAAGGTTACCTCTGTTGTTCGAATTGCTGGGAAGGGAACCAACTGTGGGTCCATCCTGCTGACTAGCACTAATCTCTGCCTCAGGTTGCCCTACTTCAAGTTGGTGCCTCTATATGTATGGAAGACTTAGGGGGATCCTGGGTCACAGGTACTGAATAGGGAAGGGGATTAACACTTTCGGGGTGTCTGCTATGTGTCAGGCACTGTGCTTTATCACTTTTTTGCTTTTATTCTTATGCCAATACTGTTATCAAAGTATTAATCTCTTAAAATAAGGAAACTGGAAACCTGAAAGTTAAACCTTGTTTAAAGTCACACAGCTAGTCAATGTCAGAGCGAGGACATCATTCCCATAATCTGTCTGACTCACAAAACCAATGCTCCACACCTCCCATTCTGTCTAGAAGCTGTTCCCTATGTGAACTCTGAGGAGATTTGGGGTTAAAAGTTTAGTTCATTTTTCTTGTCTTTCTCCACCTTCATGCTCTCAGAACCCATTTACAGTAAATAGTTGGGGTTCTGGGGTAAACCTGCCCTGCTATAGCAGTCACTGCAGCACAGTGGAGTCAGCATAATCCTGAACAGACAAGATTTGAATGCTGATTCTGGCTCTGCCATTAGCTAAGTCTGTGGGCCTGAGCAGGATAAATACTTCTCAGGCACGTGTCAGTATGTTTATAAATATACTATCTGAATTTCCTGGGGCACTAATTAAAATTCCTGTGTTAACTAACCCCAACCAACCAGACTTTAATTAAAATCCAAGGTATAGGATTTCAGAATTTACAAATTATACACTCTCTAGGGAATTCTTATGTGTACTCAGGTTTGGAAACCTATATGTAAAATATGAGTCTTCTAATAGGCAACATTAACTGTTAGTAATGTATTGTTAGTAGTGTTAGTAATGTTAGTAGTATTTTGGACTTAATTTTTTTTTTTAGCGCAAATTTAAAATTGAAGGTGAAAGTTACTCTGATTTTAATTGCTTAAAATGACCTAGAGGTGTATGTACTTTGATAGAGAAAAATGATTTTCATCTAAAATGTCAGGTTTTACTTTAATGAATACTTGCAACTAAATGGATATTTAACTAGTGTTCATTAGAGATTATAGTGAAATTACTTTTTAAAAACCTTTTTTAAAATCCTAAATATAAGCTGAATATTAGCTACACCCAGAGAGTTTTTAAAAATTGAAGCTACTTAAGAATGTTTTTGTTTTAGATATGTTCCAGAACAAAAAGAACACAGATCCCAGTTTAAGAGGGGTTTCATGCAAGGGCATGTAAATAGACAAGAGAAAGAAGAAAAAGAAGCAATTTATAAAGAACGCTGGCCAGATTATGTAAGGGAACTTCGGAAAAGGTAAGTTTATTCTGTTTAGAAGTCAGAGCATAGTGACTGAATTGACTAAAACAAAAAGCAGGAATTATCTTCTTGAATTTATACATATTTAAGAAGATTTTTATTATCTCATTTTCCACCTGAATACTATGTTTTAAACACTGTTATTTCCCTAGTAACTCTCTTCTATCATTTCCTCATTTGAAGGTTGAGTTAATTTTTAGATTTTATAGTAAGTTAAACCTCAGGAAACTGTACCAAGTATTTCATGATTTTTTTTATTTAACTTTGATAGGTATTCTGGAAGTACTGTAGATGTTTTAGAAATGATGGATGATGATAAAGTTGATCTGAATTTGATTGCTGCCCTTATTCGCTACATTGTTTTGGAAGAAGAGGTTAGTTTTGTTTTCCTCAAGTGACTTAATTTTTTTTTTTTTTTTTTTTTTCAGATCAAGGCAATACAAAAAATAAATTTCTTAAATGCTTTTTTAAAGAGATTCATTTGAGAGAGAGTAACATTGATTTGTTATTCTACCCATTTATGCATTCATTGGTTGTATGTGCCCTGAGTGGGTATTAAACTTGCTATCTTGATGCATCGGGATAACTCACCAACCAACTGGGCTAGCTGGCCACGACCTTGTAAATGCTTTTTAAAAATAGCTATGATGCCCTATCCTGTTTGGCTCATTGGATAGAGCGTCAGCCTGTGGATTGAAGGGTCCTGGGTATGATTCTGGGTTTAATCCCTGTCAAGGGCACATGCCTGAGTTGCAGACTCGATCCCCAGTAGGAGGTGTGCAGAGGCAGCTGATCAATGATTTTCTTTCATTGCTGTTTCTATCTCTCTTTCCCTCTCCCTCTCTGAAATCAATAAAATATATTTAAAAATAAATAAATAAAATAACTTACAGAAGAAATTGCTTTTGACACCAAGAATGAGAATCTCAAAATGCTAAATGATTTAGATATTTGACCAATTTGAAGAAAAGACTGAAGAAATGAAAAATCTGGTTTATAAATTCTATTTTTAAAAAGTGAGCTTGTATTCATTATTTATAATCAGTAACCAAAATTATCCTAAGGCAGTATAATTTTAACAAAGGCTAAAGTGCACAGATTTTTTTTGTGTATTTTGTTATGGGATCATTTGTAATGATTATTTCGCTTCTATACAGGATGGTGCAATATTGGTCTTTCTACCAGGCTGGGACAATATCAGCACTTTACATGATCTCTTGATGTCACAAGTGATGTTTAAATCAGGTATTACTGAAATGTATTTTATTCCAATTCCAAGAGTGGTACTTGAATCATATGTAGATTGGTTTTTGAATTATTTTGTGTTTGGTTGTTTTTTCTGAAATTGTAGGTGAAGATGGTGGGTATTTAGTGAAGTTCTTTGTGTGCTATTATAAAGAACATTCCACTTCTCCTAAATTTGCCTAATAAAATTGAGCCCTTAAAGAGCAAATGTTGGCATGTGAGTAGGTAATCCCTTAATCCACTGATTCTCATCTCTGACTGTACAACAGTCAGCATGGTACTTACTTAGACTTCAGTTACCTGAACCCTTACCCCAAATCTAAGAAAGTGACCTGAAGTTTTAAAACTTTCTGAGATGATTCTTGAACAATATGATTTTAAGAGCTATCACCTCTTGTCTTAGAGAAATGCAGGGGAACATTTTTCTCATATAAAATTCAGTTGCAGCATCTTCAGATGTCATTTTTAACTTAAATCAGTAAAATACAAAGCAAATTCTATTTAATGTATAATTCTGTATGTAACTTTTAACTTTACTCTTTTGAAGTACTTTTGACACATTTTTATAATGCTAAAAAATATTTGGTCTAATTGTATTGTCTAAACTAGTAAAAGGTATATTTTTTATTCTTTGTTAAATCCTATTATGGTAGTGTCCTCAAAGTATTCTTTTTTTTTTTTTTTAAATATGTTTTATTGATTTTTTACAGAGAGGAAGGGAGAGAGAGAGCCAGAAACATCGTTGAGAGAGAAACAACGACCAGCTGCCTCCTGCACACCCCCTACCGGGTGCCCGCAATCAACATACATGCCCTTGACGGAATCGAACATGAGACCTTTCAGTCCGAAGACTGAGTCATACCGGTTTCAGCTCAAAGTATTCTTTATATTTAAAAATATGTACTCTTCTCAAGTTAAAAAAATACTTTTAACTGATTACTATGACTTTTCTATGATGAAATACCACTTTTTCTTTTAAGTGATAACATTTCTCTATAGAAGATTAGGCATGATAAACTCTACGCTGAATTTTTTTAAAGAACAATGGGAATTTGGGGGGAAAGGTGTTGAGTTTTCCAACTTTGGCCTCTTTTTTCCCCATAAACACTATGATCAACTTTTAGTTTTTAAAAATGCAGGGAAGATACATACCCAATATTACATATTGTTTCTGTGGGAATGGGGAAAGTGTGTGATATGCTAGATTATTATAATTGACTTTATTAACTTTCTAATTTAAATTAATCCTCAAAAATGGAGGTATTAATTTATATTTTCACCACCAGCTCAATTTCTTGTGATAAGAATGAGAATGTTGATAAGCATTTGATAAATTGAATTTCATGATTTACTTTTCAATCAGTATGGAGCACGACCAATTTCTCCCCTTTTACAGTGGCTAACAGTGTATAACTGATTATTAAGGCTAAAATTTTAAAATATGATTGAGAAAAAAATACTTGTAAAACTTTTAAAAGACTTCCTTTAAAAGAAATTGAGCTGGTGGTGAAAGTATAAATTAAACCTCCATTCTTGAGAATTAACTTAAATTGGAAAGTTAATAAAGTCTGAATCTTCATGTTACCATTTCATTTGATTCTTTCTGACCTGAGTTTTTTTTAAAAAAAAAAAGAGGAAGTTATGTTTGAAGGCTTGTTTCAATTTGAGTGAAGTATTTTTGGTTTGAATTTTGATTGAATTAATGAAATTTATTTCATGTCACCAAAGTAATTTTAGAGCATCTTTTTTAGCAAACCATTTGCTTGACAGCTTCTTATTACTTTTTAAGTTCAGAAGGGTCACAGACAATCTCTCTTTCGAACAATACCAGTTCTTTTCTGGTAGAAATATAGCTATCTTGATTCATTGGGGCACTGTTGCTAGAGATTTAAATCATTTGCATTATTTTTTTTTAACCACAGCTAAATGTGAAAGATTCCTTTGTTTCCTTAGCAGTCACCCTCCTTCCCCTCACTATACTGCAACAAACTTTCTATTAGCTGATAATCATGAATGAGCTTGAGCTATTTTATTTTGAAATTTAAAACAAAGTAATGTAATTTCTTAAAATTATGTTCCATATATGTCTGATGAAGCTTTTCTGCAACTATTTAAAAAGAAAAATTAATTTTCTTTTTAATTTTCAGACAGGTTTCTTATTATACCTTTACATTCACTGATGCCTACAGTTAACCAGACACAGGTATGTTAAATTTATTCACTGTTTTTCAAACTGAGGCAATCTTTAAAGCACTGCTTATTGTGCATTTTGTTTTATATTTTTTAAGCATATTTTTAAACAGTAATCCATATAGAAATACTTCTTTGGGAATCTTTGCAAATGAGTCTTCAAGAGATAATTTTAGCCGGCACCGGTTTGGCTCAGTGGATAGAGCGTCAGCCTGTGGACTGAAAGGTCCTGGGTTCGATTCCGGTCAAGGGCATGTACCTTGGTTGCGGGCACATCCCCAGCAGGGGGTGTGCAAGAGGCAGCTGATCGATGATTCTCTCTCATCGATGTTTCTAACTCTCTATCCTTCTCTCTTCCTCTCTGTGAAAAATCAATAAAATATATTTAAAAAAAAAAAAAGATAATTTTATAAAAACTGAATTAGAGAGGGTAACCCACAAATTAAATTAGTTATGTCAACATTAGGGAAAAATTTAAAGACTGGTTTCACCAATAACTTGCTTGGCTTTTATGAATAAAAGGAAAAAGGTATGTGAGTACCACTAAATATAAATCAACCTAGAAATTAAGAAATTAAATATCTTAATATTTGAAAAAAAAATTTAGCCGAAGCCGGTTTGGCTCAGTGGTAGAGCGTCGGTCTGCGGACTGAAAGGTCCCAGGTTCAATTCCCGGTCAAGAGCATGTACACTGGTTGTGGGCACATCCCCGGTAGGGGGTGTGCAAGAGGCAGCTGGCCGATGTTTCTCTCCCATCGATGTTTCTAGCTCTCTCTCTCTCTCCCTTCCTCTCTGTTAAAAATCAATAAAATATATTTTAAAAAATTAATATATTTTATTGATTTTTTTTTTTAATAGAGAGGAAGGGAGAGGGATAGAGAGTTAGAAACATCAATGAGAAAGAAACATCAATCAGCTGCCTCCTGCACACTCCCCACTGGGTATGTGCCTGCAACCAAGGGAATGTCCTTGACCAGAATTGAACCTGGGACCCTTGAATCTGCAGGCCGATGCTCTAACCATTGAGCCACACAGGTTAGGGTGATATTTGAAATTTTGATTTAACAGTGTTAGTATATTTATTTGTAGGTGTGAGATTTCCTGTTTTGTCAATAATGTATTATTTTGGTTTTGAATATTTTGGCTTAGTCAGATTCAGAGATTTCTCTAATTAGAATGAGCTCTGCATTCTCAAAGGCAAGATAATTTTCTGGATTGCAGTGTTTGCAGGCCCTGATGGATCCCTTCTAGTTTTTCAACTCTCTAAGAAAATATAGACTTTTTTTTTTTTTTTTTTAACTGAGACTCTTAATATCCTTCCTACTGGTCCCAGTCCTGAGTAAGGCTCAGCCAGCTGAATTGGTTATAGAGTGCTGCTAGATAAAGAAGAGAAGAGGAAAGAGGGAGAACTTTTGATTCCAAGACTTTTTATAGCAGAGTATTCAGTGTGGAGGCACTTCCATCTCTGACCCCTGGCAGTCCATTTTTACTCCTTTGCTAGAGACTGTGTGACTGGCCTTGGAAACAGCATTTTCTCTTGTTACCACTTTCATACATGTGGGGATAAGTTTATGCATTTTTTTTTTTTTGCTTAATAGCGAAGTGGTACTTGGCTGCATGTCTTTTTATCAACTTGGTAGCTTTGTCGATGCTGCATTGTTGGTAGGATTCAGCATTCGAAGAGGATTTTATTTTAATCCAATCTAATCTCAGAAGCTAGTTTACAAAGATACACCAGCTAACGTTTATTCTGATGAGTTGGGCATCTGCTTGGTTATTTATTGTCATTACCCATATATAACCGAAGAATAATTCTTAATTCTTATCCTTAAACTAAATTTTTCTCTCTCCCTTAAAAGCTTGACTACACAATATGATGTTTAACCAGTTTTTGTTTTAAAAAAATTATATAAATTATTATATTTCATTTAAAATCTTGTTTGTGATAAGGTTTTGACATCTGTGGGAGATTTAATTTGTTATACCCAAAGGGAGTTTTATGGAATTGAAAATGATGCATAGCTTATAAATACAACTATAAATATCAGATTCATACATATGTCCACAGATAAACACAGTGTTAAAAATGAATAGTATCTGAAGTAATTTTTCTAATTGCAAGAGTGATGTATCAGAAATTCATGTACTTTTGGGGGTTTGATGTATTTTTTCTTTCAGGTATTTAAAAGAACTCCTCCTGGTGTTCGGAAAATAGTAATTGCTACCAACATTGCAGAGACTAGGTAAATATTGTTTTAAATATCAACTACTGGTGATTATATTAGCTTTAAGCCCCATAAATTATTTAAATACCTTAATCTTTTTTCTCTACAAAATATTTGTACTCTCTTAAAAATAAATGTTTTAATTTAATCATGGTAGTGGCATAGGTTTGTTTAGTTTTTGTTGTTTTAACCTATACTAATTTTTTAGCCTTCTTCAGAAACAGCCTTTTAAGTGTTGTATGGGTGTGTTGTTTTTTCAAAGCCTTCCTAAAAACCATGGGAGCTGATGTCAGTTTTGTTTCATTTGCCTTTTGTTGGTTGGGGATGGAATTGTTTGGTAATTTGGCAGTTAGTTATATACAGCCTTTAAAATGGATGTATTGTCTTGAGGGTACTAATATACCGGTAGGGCACCTAAGGTTGTTCTGTGTATCAGAAAGCTGATACTAAGCCATGGCACTGGGAAGGGGTGGGGGACACAAGCTAGAACTGAAGTCATCAGGCAAGCTATGAAGTGTGGCTGTGGGCAAGCAAGACTCTCCCATGGGATCTGCAGAACTGGCAGGACACTGCCTCTGCAGCGGCTGAGGATGTCTACAATGAGTGTCAGCAATATATTTTGCTATATAACCTTTTTGTTTTTAATCACTGCTTGATCCCGTAACATCGGTAAATGTGGGAAGAGTGCTGAAAATCCTGAACTGCTAAAATCAATGTGATCCAGTAGAACTGTTTTAAAGTCTCTGTCTGTAGACCTGATGTAGATTAATGTGCTTTTTATGTTCTAATATGTTATATATCTGTTTTCCTAACAGCATTACCATAGATGATGTAGTTTATGTGATAGATGGAGGAAAAATAAAGGAAACACACTTTGACACACAGAACAACATCAGTACTATGTCTGCTGAGTGGGTTAGTAAAGCTAATGCCAAGCAAAGGAAAGGTCGAGCTGGAAGGTAAGATGGGACTTGTCTGAAGCCTTTAAAAACAAAAATGTTACGTAGCAAAATATGTTGCTAACGCTTAAAAATATTTATTAGGAGAGTTACTTTTTATGTATTTTAAAACACTGTAGCACATTTTTAAATGGAAATGTTTTAATTATAATTTCTTTGCAGTTCTTTGATTTTTCTACCTCTTATTCTCAATACAGTTAATTAAAATTAATGTTCTTTATTATATTACATATAATTTGGTTGACACTTTAAAGGGCAAATAGCGATATTAAAATATTCTAATTAATTTCCTTTCAACGTGCACTACCGTAATCCCTGTACAGGGACACTAGTATATGATAAGTAAAAGTGAAATAATAATTAGTTATAGTGTGGCTTGTAAGAAATAGATAATTGGCTACTACATTTCCTGCCTATTCTTTTCTCTGGAGTTCTAAAATGTCCCTGATCAATGATTCCTCCTTGACAACCTTTCCCACCTTTTTTTGTTTTGCTTTGTTTTTGAAGAGTTCAGCCTGGTCATTGCTATCATCTGTATAATGGTCTTAGAGCAAGCCTTCTAGATGATTATCAACTGCCAGAAATCTTGAGAACGCCTTTGGAAGAGCTTTGTTTACAGATAAAGGTAAATTAGGTGGGTGGTTAAAAAGCTAAATGGGATTGGGGTTCTAATTTTTACCATGCTTTTGTTTCCTGTGTGTGTTAGTAAACTATGTTTACTAACTCCCTTCAAATGCTTAGTATTTAAAAGTTTTTCGTCCTTTACTGCTCTGGAGCCAAAGAACCTGTGTTGGAATCCCACCACCCCTCTGACAAGCCAGTGTTGTTACATTGGACAAATTACTTAAATTCACATAAAACTCTTAATGGCACATAGTTAAGTGTTCAGTAAATATTAGCTACTGTTGCTCCATTCTTAAGATTTTTATTTCTTTATAAACTACTTACCCTTTTTTCGAGTATTTTATATATTTTCATAAGGTTAACTTTATTTTGAAAACTTGTTAATTGGTAATCAACTTGTTAGTTGAGATTTTAACCAACTACTTTTCTCATTAATAAGAATTGGTGGTTGATAGAAAGTAGCATATCAGCCTTAAAGCATGTTTTTATGGAATCACAAGTGTAATTTTAACTTTTAACTTGAAAATAATGTTTATGTTTGATACTCTACTTGAATAAGTGACACAGGCAGGACTACTAGTAAACTGTTGTGTCAATATATGATACATGTTTAATTATATTTGTCTTTCCCCAGATCTTAAGGCTAGGTGGAATTGCTCATTTTCTAAGTAGGTTAATGGACCCACCATCAAATGAAGCAGTGTCACTCTCCATAAAACACCTGATGGAACTGGTAAACTTGATTTTTCTTTTTAATTGTAATTTAGATGTAGCGTGTTAGAGTATGTAAGCCAGCTAATTGTGTATTTACTCTCATTACTGCAGAGGAGACTGGTGAATGTGCAATGCCAATTTTATACACTAGTTAACTATTCACCTGAGTGTCTGAAATATGAGTTGGAAAGTTAAAAAATGATATCTTTATGATATTTTATAATACTGGCTCCTTTCCACACAATTGTTTTCATTGTAGGATTGATTTAAAATTCCATATAATTTTGAAATCTTTGAATTCTTGGTCTTTTTTTGTATTTTCTGAAATTTATTTGTTTTATTCTACTCTTTTTGATTATTGTAGTGTGTTTAGAGCTTTTGTCAAATCTAAGAAACTTATAGTATGGACATTTTATTAAGGCAACTCTTGTATTTTTAAAGAAATACTAGCAGGTGGCTTTTCTTCAGAATATCATTTTTCTCTACCTGTCATTTTATTCTTACCAATTTTTCCCCTTAGTATTTTTTTTTTTAATGAAGTCAGTATTTTGAAAAACTAAGTTTCAGTATCTTAGTCAAGTGACTGTTTAGTTGGTAGCCATCTGTGCAGGATCATGTTGAGAAGCACAGAACTAGCTGTGAGGTAGTGCCTACAGCGATGAGAAAGGGACTGTTAGTGCCCAGAATGGAGAGAACCAAGTTAGAGCTGTACTGTCCAATGCAATAGCCACTAGACTCATGTTTTCAATGCACAGTAATAGAATATTTCTGTTATCACTACAAATTCAGTTGATTGGTGCAGAGTTAGAGGATGCCAAAGTATATTTTATATACTTCACTTTTATTTAAGCCATCTATGCAGAATCTTTTGAGAATTTGGCCCATATTAGAACATTGCAATAGCTTTTAATGTGAGTAATAAGTTGTTTAAGTGAAAAAACATTATATATTATCTAACCATCTTTGTTGGAATGTAGGTTAGATTTTTAGTGAGGTTACTGGCATTTTAGGAAGTAGTACGGTTTTACTAGTGCCCCCTCTCCCCTTCAAGCTTTTATCTAATGGAAGACAGCCGGAGAGCTGGGTGGTGCTTAGAATCATCTTATTAGAGGAGAGATGGACAGCCACGGCAGTAACACTTAAAGCCTGAGCAGGGTGACATCCCCTCTCGCAACTGAATTTAAGAGCCGATCTTAATGTAATCAGTTGCAGACAACAGAATCTTGAAAAGGCCAGCAAATGCTTGTCAGCAGTGGGGTCTGGAGCCCACGTTTTTAAAATCTTGACTGAATTACAGCATTCCCAAGTAAGAGGGGGCTCTTTTTTTCTAAGCAAACTAAAATTAGGCTTGAATGTGATGCTCTAGAATATCTGTTTTAAATGTAAACCCTTACTTTACAGAATGCTTTGGATAAACAAGAAGAATTGACCCCTCTTGGAGTCCACTTAGCACGATTACCAGTTGAGCCACACATTGGAAAAATGATTCTTTTCGGGGCGCTGTTCTGTTGCTTAGACCCAGTCCTCACCATTGCTGCTAGTCTCAGCTTCAAGGATCCCTTTGTCATCCCATTGGTAAGAAAGTTACAACGGAAAGGCTGGGCATTTTTATGCAAACGTGATAGTTGTTGCTTAGGTACAGTTTTTCACTCGCTTTTTATTAGTATGCTCTATTACGTACTGTCAAGCCTTTTAAATTGCCTTCCTCTGTATTTTTAAAGGGGAAAGAAAAGGTTGCAGATGCAAGAAGAAAGGAATTGGCAAAGAATTCTAAAAGTGACCACCTGACAGTTGTGAATGCATTTGAGGTAATAAATAAATAACTTGTATCAGTTTATTCAAAAGCTGATAATAGAATAGAACCATATTTAACTTTTAAATCTGTATTATCATAGGTATTAGGAATAAATTGCTAAGTGAGAATGTTTAAAATTAGGTGAACATTTGAAAAAAATTTAACCTTATTTATCAGTGTATGTTCTTGTTTTGATCACAATTGAACAAGTGAATAATTTATTTTAAAAGTTTATTTGATATTCATTTGTATCTAATTGACATTTATGACAGGTCTCTCTCTGATCATTAATAAATTAAACCTGTGTTCCGATTTAACATTTTGATAGAGTATCTTAATTGATAGAGTACATTATTCAGAATATAGACATTTTCTGCTCCCAAATGCCAGGCTTAGCTGAAGATAAACATTTATCACCCATCTTTTCAAAAATTTAAATGTTATGTGGTATATAGAGACTGCAACTTCTAGAGTCAGTTTTATACTGCATAGCATGGGAATTTTTTTTTTTTTTTTGCCTTTGAGCTCATAATTTCCCTTTTTCTCCATCTTTTCTCCTCTAGCTAAGAAATAAATTTTATATTTGTGAAATTGAAAAATATTTGATAGCACTGAAGTTTGTTGAACACTGCTCATTTTGTTAACTTCATTATAGGCAGTATGATCCCAGTTCATATGAAATGCACAATGCGTTACTGTATAACTAACTTGTAGAAAGGTCGGGAAATTCCGTGGTGGCTATCTCTTAACATTTAGGATCATGGGAAGGTTTTTCTTTTTCTTTAGTTTTATAAATTTCAAAATTTGACCTTTTTATAGAGAGAACATCAATAGAAAATTATTACCAAAATAAAGACAGACAAGTAGGCAGTCTTTGCTTTGGGAAATGATATAGTTTACTCTGTTTCTTTACATCATAGGGCTGGGAAGAAGCTAGACGACGTGGTTTCAGACATGAAAAGGACTATTGCTGGGAATATTTTCTGTCTTCAAACACATTGCAGGTAATGGCGAATGTTTTGAAGTGATTCTCATTTACATTAGAGAATATATGAATGCATTTTGTATAGTTATGAATGCATTTTGTACAGTTAGATTGGTAGCAAAGGTTAATTGTGTGAATTTGTCTTATGAAATCGAGTCATTATACAAAATTAAAGCAAAAGCAACAAAATAAACATGTATAATATAATAAATTATATGATGGTTAAGGAAAGCTACAAGAATCTAAAGTATAGCAAGAAAACACAGTAAGGCTCGGTTACTGTTCCTGTACATACCTTCTAGTTGACATTTTGATGGTTCAGTGTGAAAATTTTCACTAATACTCCTAAAACCTATTTTTAATATCAAATAGAGTACTCCTTAACTTTTAGGTAGATATCTTTAACTGATTTAGTGTAGTGAGAAAACACTGGGCAGTAGGCATTTGTGAAACAGAAGAAAGTTAATAATACATAGGGCAGATGCTCTGTAAGGGAAAAGTGTTCTCAAAACAGTAAGAATAGCAATGTCCTCACCTTTCCCCATCAGGAATACACTTCAGCTGCATGAACCCTGGACTGGACATTGAACAATTCTATAAGTTGGTATAAGAATCAAGATTCTAGCATATTTAATAAAAACTGCCAAGACATCAACAAAATGAAAAGAAAAATCATGGCTATAGCCTTACTTACAACTGTTTCTTGTGGGACAGTTTAAGAATATGCATTCAATAAAACAAAAATAAGAAAGGAAACCAATAGAATAAAAAGACTGCCAGGCTAAGAAGAAAAAATAAAGACCAAAGAATTACAATAAACAAAATATACATCCCTTTAAAGCAAATTATTGCCATAGAAGAAAGGCTTGAAATAATCACAGTTTATAAATGCAGCTGCAAAAGGAAAACATTAAAGTAATAAGTAAAAAACTATAGACAGGAAGGCAGGACTAATCCATCGTGAAAATAATAGATGTCTAAACATAGAAAATTCAAGTGTAATTAAGTATGTATTTGAAAAATGTGAAAGAACATTTTCCTGGGGGGGAAAAGAAAAGAAACAAACTACATGTATGAAAGTTGGCTGAACCCAAGTGTTAATTGAGAATCTTATATTCAGTCAAGATATTGAAATCTGAAGACAAAGGATAGACATTCAAGAAAGCACTTGGAAGTACTGCATCCATGAACTTGAGTTGTCCTTGAAAAATCCATTGAAAATGAAATGCCGCCTTTTGAGGGATGAATCAAAAAGCATTCATAATGAAGAATGCATGCTAAATCAGCTAGCGGTTTGCACTGAAATTATGTAAATATACAAGTTCAAAATAAAAATGTAAAGATCATTATCCTAAACAATAAAAAATAATGGTAATAAAACTCAGGAGGTAACCCAGAGAGTAAGTTAAAAGAAAAATTAAGTTGGAAAACTAAAGTCACACACAGTTCATAAAAGGAAGATGCACTTGAATATGACCAAGTTTGTTTCATAGTCTCTTTATTTTAAGGTTGCAAGGATACCTTATCAAATATCTCATGATTATGAAATTATAAAATTAATCTAGTCCAGTTTTATTTCTATTTAACTTTTTAAAAATTGATGTAGAATTAATTTTAGTACTTTTATAAAACAGCTTCTATACTGTTATCCCATGGTTAGGATAGTATTTTTGTCTAATTCTTCTGTCAGTGTACAAGTGTCTTCAGTATTATTTCTTAATGAATGATCTTTCTGACAATATTGAGTTTAGGGAATTCATTTCTATTTTTCAGTATTACTTGAATGCTTTATAATGAGTTGTGCATCATTTTTACCCAAATAATGATTTTTCTTAAAAATAAAAAAAAAAGACAAGTTTTTGTTCCAATAAGCAGCAGTACTTAATTATCAATAGTAGAAATATGGATGTGGAAATATGCTTTTCTCTATTTCTATCAAAATATGGAGTGGAGAACAACTTGGAAGAAATTATATTAGTGTTTGCAAAATGGAGTAATCTTTAAATATTAGCATGTATATCTATAATAGGCAAATGTTTTCTGTAAAAGATCAGATGATAACTATTGCAGGCTTACAAACCATATGGTCTCCTTTGCAATCACTCAACTCTGCCATTATAGTGCAGAGCAACCATTGTTAATATGTAGATGAATGGGTGTGTTCTATTGACAGAAACAGGTTTTTATCATGTAATTTACCAATTATAAACATCACATTTTGCAGTATTTTATAAAGCAGAGAAAGCTTATACTAAATTTATTTATAAGTGTATATTTTATTACTCCCGACAGTCTGAGAAAGGTTTTCTAGTTCTGTTTCCTTGTTTTCTAGATGCTGCATAACATGAAAGGGCAGTTTGCTGAGCATCTTCTTGGAGCTGGATTTGTAAGCAGTAGAAGTCCTAAAGATCCAAAATCCAATATAAATTCAGGTAAAGCAGAAAACAGTGTATATAACTTGCTGCTGTTGTCTATTGGTATCAGTATTTTATACTTTTTTCTCTACCTTCCCACCCCTAATAGATAATGAGAAGATAATTAAAGCAGTCATCTGTGCTGGCCTATATCCCAAAGTTGCTAAAATCCGACCAAATTTGGGTAAAAAAAGAAAAATGTAAGCATTGAAGATTATGAATTAACTTGTAATTCTGTTCTTAAACTTTTAAAATTCTTTGATACAACAGGGCTCTGTATACATTTGTTCTTAGTCATATTTGGGCCAGATTCTCGTTTTTTACTTCTGATTATTTAGGATAGGGGTGGGGAATGTCTGGCCTGCAGGCCATATAAGGCCCAAAAAATAATTTGGTCTGGCCCACCCAAGGCATTAGGGGTAATTAAATGTCTGACTAAATATAACAGATTTATTTTTAAGTTGGTAATTGTGTATGGCCCATGAATGATGTCAATACCCAAATGGCCTTTGGCAGGAAAAATGTTCCCCGCCCCTGATTTAAGAGAAGTCAAACTGTTTAACAGAGGCATCACTTTCCCTCACGGCACATCCTGATGTGAGCTCTCAATCACCCATTCATGATTCAAAAAGAATGTTAGTGACTATAATAGCAGTGTAAATACACGAAAAGTAATCCAGGTATTAAAGTCATCCCAGAAGCTCAGTGGCATGATATGATACTTATACGTGAAATGTAAAGAACAAAATAAATGAACAAACACAATTGAAACAGACCCATAAGACATAGATCAGACTGGACTGATGGATGCCAGAGGAGAGGAATTTTGTCAGTAATATTGTGATAACTGTATAGTGCCCGGTGGGTACCAGAAACATTGAGGGGAACACTATATACTAGTAAAGTATATGATTGTCTAACCACTGAGCTGTACACATCTAATATAGGTAATTACCATTGACTATTCAAAAATAAGCCACCAAACAGCTCCTAGTTGAATAATATTAAATAAAAACTCCCGCAAATTGAGGCAAAATTTTTATGACTATCAAAGAAAAGACCCCTAGGAATGAAGAGATTGAACTAGAGTTGTGTCAGAGTACATTTATTCCAAGTATTCCTGTTTTGAAAATGGGGGATGTAAGTGAATGTGCAACCACTTAAAACTTATTTTAGAATAGGTTTTCAAAAGATAGTTGTAGCTAAAACTCATTCTAACCATTCTCAATTTTTTATTTTATATTCATCTGGGTGTATAACCTGTGAAATTTTTAAATTATCATTTCACAAAGTTATTCTATAAATTAAAGGCTTTAGTGTCATAATTGACAGTATTACGTATAAACCATTCTCTTGGTGTGAATCACTTTGAAGTATTTCAGCTGTTTATTTCATTCTTTGTTCTCAGTGAATAGTAGAAACATAATTAAGGAATATTTTTAAAAAAATATATTTTATTGATTTTTCTTACAGAGAGAAAGGGAGAGGGATAGAGAGCTAGAAATGTCGATGAGAGAGAAACATCGACCAGCTGCCTCTTGCACAGCCCCTACCGGTGATGTGCCCGCAACCAATGTACATGCCCTTGACCGAAATCAAACCTGGGACCTTTCAGTCCGCAGACCGATGCTTTACCACTGAGCCAAACCGGTTTCAGCCATAATTAAGGAATATTTTGTCACCATTTTAATGTGTTGAGTAATTATACCTGAAAGAAGAGGATTTGATGTATGATTTATAACATTTTCACATTTAGCTAGTAATTTCCCGTGTTTTATTAAAAAAAATATATTTCCTCAAATATAAGTGTGTAAACTTACATTGCAAAAATAAATTGAACTTATCTGTAGAGTTTTTTTAGATTCTGGAAATGGTTTGGAATCTCCAGGATTTTTTTTTAAACAAACTCTATTTTAACTTTGTTAAAGGGTGAAAGTTTACACAAAAACTGATGGATTAGTTTCTATTCATCCTAAATCCGTTAATGTGGAGCAAACAGACTTTCACTACAATTGGCTTATTTATCACCTGAAGATGAGAACCAGTAGTGTAAGTAAATAAAAATAATCATGGATCTTAATGTCAGTGTTGTTGTTTTCTTATCATTGTACGATTTTCACAATTATAAACAAAATTTGTTCTTTAAAAAAATTTTTATGACATGAATTATAAGTTTCTTAAGCAAATAACCTATACTTTTAACATGAATATATGTCATGATCCATTTTTGTATTTTAATTAATTGGGACAGTTATTTGCTTTGCATATTTTTCTTTCAATGTGCTTTAGGAAATACTGCTGATATTTTTTGGTATAGAGGAGTTTACACTGTACAAAATTTTTTGGCATATCAGTATACCTTATAAGTATTAGAATGTTAAGTGGGATTCTGTTTATGTCTATAAAAATGCTTTCAACTGTATTAGTGTTTTGGTTTTGTCACTCAGAAAATATTTTGTTTAAAAATAATGCTGTTTGAATTGAAATAAAAATATAAGACTGTGTTTTCTGAGTTAAGAATGGCTTGCTTAAAATTATTACTTTATAACTAGTCTTTCTAATTACATGAATAGGATAATATCTATTTTAGAAGGATCAATACTAATAAATTTATACTGATGGTAATTGGATTAATGTGGCAGTAATTTAGACTCTTTAATGTGCTAATTTGCTTTAATTTCATTATAGATATATTTGTATGACTGCACAGAAGTTTCCCCATACTGCCTCCTGTTCTTTGGAGGTGATATTTCCATCCAGAAGGATAATGATCAGGAAACTATTGCTGTAGATGAATGGATTGTCTTTCAGTCTCCAGCAAGAATTGCCCATCTAGTTAAGGTGACTGGCTTTATGATTGTCCTTGAATATACTTGCCAGCTGATATGTGGTCTTGTGGTTTTATTCAGGGTGTTATATGTTTTGTGAACATTTCTTGATATATTTCAGCAGAACAAATAGTGTTGAGAAATTGATTCATTGTTTTTTGAGGTGGTTACTGACCAACCATTGTAAATGTCTAAGTGAGATGGAAGCTTAAATTTTTATACTGAACTTCAGTTGCTTACTAAATATTTCAGTCTTTTGTATAATAGCTTATGAAGTTCCTGTCTCAGCTAGTCACTGTTAGTTGTTACATTGTTTTATTGTACATCTGCCTTTGTTGAACTTGTCTAATTTTTCCAACCTTAGGAATTAAGAAAGGAACTAGATACCCTTCTGCAAGAGAAGATCGAAAGCCCCCATCCTGTTGATTGGAAGGACACTAAATCCAGAGACTGTGCCGTGCTCTCAGCTATTACAGACTTGATCAAAACACAGGAAAAAGCAATTTCCAGGAACTTTCCGCCACGACTCCAGGATGGATATTGCAGCTGACACTTTTTCTGTGGCGGTCGGAAAAGCTAATTTGATAGCCGTCTTCCATCATAGTTAAATGCTTGGCTAAATGCCAACCCCTGGGACATGAGTAATTTTCATGTGTAAGGTAGAAACCTTCAGTAGATAGTAAAGACTTGCTGTGCATGAGTTTGCAGTGTTATCTGTAGCTATTATAAATATTCCATAAAAACAATGTGTTCTCTGATCATATACCCTGTGTGGTCATACACCTGGAGATTATTCCTCTTATAGTGTTGTACCACTTGAGAAAGTCCTTTCTCTGTTATGAAAAAAATAGTAATTTTTCTGCCCATAATGACCGAGTATAGAACTGGTAAAAGTAGAATGCTTACCCAAAAGACAGTGTCAAGTAGGAATTTGAACACAGCCACATTTTTTAAATGAAACTTCTATCAGAAGTTAATTTGTTCTAATAAAACCCAGTATTTAATAAAATGTACAATGTGTAAATCTCTGTTACCCTTTGGCTTGGTTTCTACCTCTCCTTTGGTTTATTTGATTTTTTAAAAATCTTTTAAAAATATATTCATTCCTCTTTTACATCACCTTGTGCAGCATAATGTAGCAATTGAGAGCATGGGTGTGGAGTCTGACCTTAAGTTAAAATTTCAGCTGTCACTTCGCTTCTGTTTCCTTATCTATAAAATAGAGGTTACGTTGTGAGGTTTGAATATGTTAGTGCACATAAAGTACAAAGATTAGTGTCTGGCGTGTAGAATATTTTCTCTAAATCTTAGGTATTATTTGTCTCTGAAATATATTTTTGTCATTGTCCATTATATTACACTTTTTTTTTCATACTCTTGAGTGCTAGTTTACCCTCTCAAGCAGTGGACGTTAGTGTGACATGTACCGTATGTTTTTAACCCTATCCAGTTGTGAGAAATACTGGTTATTATCCAACAGCCATTCTATCCCTCCCTCTTACTTGCTTGTTCAAGCATTCCCTCTCTGTGCATCCTTGTGCCCAAGGATGTTGGATCCTTCATGGTCTTATTCCCCTTTTAAGTAACTGGTAAGGCATGTCTACCCTGGCCAGTGAGAACAGATCTGCCAGGGGGTAGGAGAAAGATTTCCCTCACTTAGAGACTTAGCGCAGGAAGTTCTACTTTCCTTGTTTTAATGAGAACTGCTGCAGTCATTTTATGGTCACCAGGTTGGCTCACTGGGACAGGTGAACATCATCAGTCCTTGATAACTCTAGTGAGCTGCTGCATTATCCAAACCGCCTTCCTACTCATGGATGCAATAAATCTTTCATTGAAACACAAACTATTCATCATCAAGCATTGTTAGCTGAGCAATGTTTTTACCATTTGTTTTGTGATTTAATCGTTTGACCATACATTTGATAAAAGGCATGAAAGTGATGGTACTGGACATACGGCAAATAGAAACATCAAGAACATCCTACTGTCCTCTAAATAAAAGCTACAAATCTTATTGTGCCTTCCAGTAAACACAAAGAAACCGAAGGAAGGGTATCATACAATACCTGGGATTTCCTGATAATGTCATGATGATCTGTTAAGAGCATTGTTTCAGGTACTGCTCTGTTTCTGGGAGTGGGTGTCAAGCCTACCATTGCCTTCCAAGGTTTTGAATATCCTGTGTGTCCCAAGTCCACTCTCTTGGCTAGTCTCCCCAAAATGGCCTGTCTCTCACTGTTCTTATATTGAGTCATGTCACAAGATTGTAGCACCTTGGTTTTGCCCCTAAACTCAAGATGACCATTAGGTCCTGTTCTAAAGAATAACTTTTTACTTTTACTATACACAGCCAAAATGGTCCTGACAGAAAGCATTTTTTTTTTAAATCTATAAGATTACTAGTTAGTTGGTTCCCATGTTTTGCGAATCAATATTTGGTCTCCATATAAATAGAAAAATTAGTTCCTGAAAAAAATTGTTTTAATAGATGAGCTACTCTTAAGAAATTAAGTAGTTCCCACCCCCAATTTATGTCTTCTGTACAGCTGGTCAGGATGGAAATTCTAATTGAAGGTGCTATTTTTGCTCTCTTTCTTTTGTTTACAAAATATGATGTTACTGAATTGAAAATGTATTCCAGGTCCAAGAACTATTTCCTTGATAATTAAAGAACAAGGCATTAAATGAAGATGAAAATGTATTTGCCTCACTGTTCTGAGTGATTCCGAAGATAATTGTTGAACAAATAACCCTGAAACAGAAACTTAGAAATTAACAAGGTGTAAACCAATCACTGAACAATCACCAAAACTGTCTTTAAAAAGGGGGTCCATGTGATACCTGCCTAATTCATTAACGAGGACAAAAGCTCTAGATGCCAGCGATTTTCAACCATTTTCATCCCATGGCATACATAAACTAAAAATCTACAGCGCACCAAAAAGTACATTTTTGGTGATCTGACAAAAAAAAAAAGGCATGATTTTGATTTATTCACACTGGACAGCTATTCTTGAGTTGGCTATTGTCATTTTGACAGTTAAGGGAAAAGAAGTCAGTGCCCCTGACTAAATCATCAGGTAATGCATGCTTTTAAAATTCTTGCTGCATACTGGTTGATAATTGCTGATTTATACCAATAATTACAAATGATTTACTGCATTTTTAAAACAAAATTCACCCTAAGTTACAAATTCCTTTAGAAGGAATTTGCTTTAATACCCTCTTACCCAAAGTAAATGGCAATGTTCCTTCCACTTTTTAGCTCTGAGTTTGTGTATATTTATTTTTAAGTAATTGTGAGTATGTAGTAGAATCATTTTATAATACATTGTTTTTAAATGGCATTTTTATTCTGATTTTAAAACAATATATATCATTGTAGACTTGAGAAATTAATCATTTTACCCATTTTTATATATTTACATCTTTTTTTTAGCTTTAAGGTATTTTATATTTAATAAAATTAGCCAATTTAAATGTATAAATCTGTGGATATTGTCAAATGTATGAAGTCATGTACCGGTATTTGCTACCACCAGAAGTTTAATATAAAACATTCCCATCACCTAAAAATTTACTTTGTTGCCCTGTCCGAGTGGGTCAAACTGGTTGTAGCATTGTCCCATACACCGAAGGTGGCAGGTTCCATTTCTGGTAAGGGTGCATGCAGGACAGCAGATTGATATTTCTCTCTTCCATCGATGTTTTTCTCTACCCGCCCTCCCCTCTTTAAGATCAACTTTAAAAACATATCCTTGGGAGATGATTTTTTAAAAAATATTTCCCTTGTTCTCCTTTATCAATCTCCTGCCCCCCCTTTCCATTGGCAACCATTGATCTGCTTTGGTCACTAATGTTTTTACCTTTTCCAGAATTTCAAATAAATGGAATTATATGTAGTCTTGTGTTTGGCTGCTTTCCCTAAACGATGATTTAGAGATTATTTATGTTGTATGTATCAGTGGTTAGCTTCTCTTTTATTGTTTAATAGTTTGCATTGTATGGTTATACCAGTTTTTTTTTTTATAAACTTACTTGTGATGGACCTTTGAGGTTTTTCTCCTGTTTTTTGCTATTATAAATAAAGCTGCTATGAACATGAGTAGCAGGTCTCTGTATGGATATATTTTATTTCTCTTTAGTAAATGCCTGATTAAGATTATTGTGTCATATGGTGTGTGTAAAGGAAAGTGCAAACCGATTTCCAAAATGGGTGTACCATTGTACACACCCACCAGCAATGTGTGATGGTCCCAGTGTCTCAAATCCTTGCCAGGTACTGTTATTTTTAGTTGTAATTTGTTGTTGCTTTGGTTATTTTAGCATTTAGTGGATGTGGAACCATAACTCATTGGGGTTTATTTTGTATTTCTTTTTTTGTTGTTGATTTTTTTACAGAGAGGAAGAGAGAGAGAGAGATAGAGCTAGAAATGTCGATGAGAGAGAAACATCTGCCTCTTGCACACCCCCTACCGGGGATGTGCCCACAACCAATGTACATGCCCTTGACCGGAATCGAACCTGGGACCTTTCAGTCCGCAGGCTGACGCTCTACCACTGAGCCAAACTGGCTTCGGCTATTTTATATTTCTTATAATCATCAGTGATGAGCATATTTCACATGCTTATTTGCTGTCTTCCTTTGTGTTTTGATTTTCCACTTCATGTTAGGTAATTGGGGCGTTAGGGATATGTCTGCTTTTAGGGAGGAGGATTGTTGATGAATTTTAGAAATGCAGAAAATTATTAAATTCATTGACACTAAAAATAGCAAAATGTGCTTGGTTGGTATGATGCAGAGAGGTCAGCCAGTGTTAGGTGTCAGAAGACAATAGCATGAGTGTCAGGTAAGGAATGAATATCAAGTGGTTGCATAGCAACTGGGAGGTAAAGAATTGGGCTGAGAAAAACCATTTCTTGATGTGGGTAAAGAATGCATGGGAGCTAAGGAAGATGGCTGAGGTGGAACTTTGTAGAGAGTTCCTGCTGAGTGAGCTAGGGGAGCTGTTTTAAATTGTGATTACCTTTTTCCTAGTTCTTAATTTTGATTCATGTGTTCATGGCCCACTGTGAATTTTCAAATAATTTTTTTTTTTCAAGAAGACAGTGACATTTCTGAGTCCTTGCAGAATATATGATGTTACCTTCACATAATGAAGGCAACTTGGGGAATAAAACTAGTGTTAGCAAAGCTTTCATTTGATGACATAGTGATTCTTTGGTGACTTCTCTTTTTCTAGGCCTCTCAGGTATATACTTCTTAGGTATTTTAATGCTTCCATTCTCCCCATTCTCTTTAAAATATATATATATATATATATATATATATATATATATATATATATATATATATATATATATATATATATATAATTTCAGAGAGAGGAAGAGAGGGAGCGATGGAAACATGATGAGGCAGAATCATTGACCGGCTGCCTCCCACACAGCCCTTATTGGAGATTGAGCCCACAACCCCATCATGTGCCCCTGACAGGAATCAAACCTGAGACCCTTTAGTCTGCAGGCTGTGATGCTCTATCCCCTCACCCAAACCAGCTAGAGCCACCCCATTCTCTTTTAACAGCTATTTCTCTTGTTAAATTGGTTCTTTTCATTGTTACTGGAAAACAATTTTTTATTTGAAGGCAAAGAAACATTTTTGTAGATTCTGAAAAGAATATAAATGAAAGCCAACATACCACAAGTCTTGGATGAAATATGTTCTATCCTTCTAACTTGACAAATACACATTCATAATGAAAAAGTAAAAAATGGCATATAAAATCGATTTTTTTCTACAACTGAAGGTCAACAAAATATCAAAAATGATTTCTAGCCCTAGTTTGATGAGAGTTTTCCCAACTATTTCAACCTTTCCAAATATTTTTACATCAACTGATATAGCCATGGTTTTGCTTTTTTTTTTTTTTTTTTTTGTGGATTACATTGATTGACTTTCAAATATTGAACTAATCCTACATTCCTAGAATAAACCTCACTTGATTGCAATGTGTAATATTTTAAGACTAGTGGCCCGATGCACAAAATTCATGCACGGGAGGGGGTTGCTCAGCCCAGCCTGCACCCTCTCCAATTGGACATCCCTCACAATCTGGGACCACTGGCTCTTAACCACTTACTTGTCTGCCTGCCTTCCTGATCGCTCCTAACTGCCTCTGTCTGCCTGCCTGATCATCCCTAACTGCCCTTCCCTGCTGACCTAATCTCACCCCCAAGGGCCCTCCCCTGCTGGCCTGATTGCCCCTAACAGCCTCTGCCTCAACCCCCACCACCATGGCTTTGTCCTGAAGATGGCCAGTCTACCCAGTCTAATTAGCATATCACCCTTTTAGTAGTATAGATTATATAGGATAGGATTGCTTAAATGGGGGAGAGGAGGTAGCCTTTTTCATTAGTTGGAGATGCTCTTGGCAGACAAAAATACATAATCCCTATATCTGGACTGATAGCCAGCCATATGCACTATACTGCCAAACCGGTCATTAAAAAATTGAACTGCTTTCTTATACCTTACACCAAACAGCTGTTGCCCTTAAAGCCCTTCCTCAGCCCTCACCTTAGGTTTTGCCTTCACACTTCACCCAGGTTTGGTTCTGATTGGCCAGTTTCTATGCCAGTCAGCATCTCTGGGCCTATCAACAGGCCTGATCAGAAAGGCGGGGTTGATCAGAAGCCCCATTGGAGGCCCAAGAGAAAGAAAGGCACAGCTGCTGGCCAGTCCCAGAGTGAAAGAGGCAAGGGCTGATCAACAGCTGCCATGGAGGCTACAGATCAGACCTTGCTTCTCCAGGCCTCTCTCGGGATCAGGTCTGCAGCCCCCTCAGCAGTGAATGCTGGGTTGGAGCGCCCACAGAGGTGGCAGTCAGTGCTGGGTCACCATGGCAACCCAGCACTGACTTCTGGTCTGTTGAGCCTTCAATCATTTTGGATGTTACAGACCCTGGGTTTTTTTATATTAGGATTTTTGCTGCTCTATGCATGAGGGACACCAGTCCATAGTTTCTGGAAGAGATTGCATAGAATTGTTGATAATTATTTAAGTGTTTGGAAGACTTCAGTGAAACCATGTGCACCTGGCTATTTCTTTTCCATAAGTTTTAAAATTAAGAATTCATTTTATTAATTTTTAAGAATTCAATGTATTTAGTTACAGGATCAGACTTTTGGCAGTTTGTGGTTTTCAATGAATTGCCCCATTTTTATCTAAGTTGTTGAATTGTCAAGTGGTTTAAATCCAAGCTCTGGTCATTATGAATGAAACTACTATAAACGTGTGTGCAGATTTTTGTGTGGACATAGTTTTAAACTCATGTGAGTCAATACCAAGGATTGTGATTGCTGCGTATGGTTTAGTTTAATAAACTGTCAAACTCATCCCAGTGGCCTTTGCACACCCACCAGCAGTGAATGTGAGTTCCTGTTGCTTCACCTTCTCAGCAGTATTTGGCATTATTAAGGTTATGGATGTTAGCCATTCTAATCCGTGCATCAATAATCTCATCTTAATGTGCAATTTCTTAATGTTGTATGATCTTAAGCATCTTTTCAGATGCTTATTTGCCATAGATAGACCTGTGGGAGTTTTCCAGAACTTTGCCCATTTTTAAATTGGGATGTTTTCTAATTGTTGAGTTTTAAGAGTTGGTGGCATGTTTTACCTGCCGATCCTTTATCAGATGTTTTGCTAGTTTTCCTCATATTCTGGATTGTCTCTTTCTTGTCTGTTAATGAAGTTCAACTTACCAAGTTTTTCTTTCATTGATCATGTTTTTAGTGTGGTACTTAAAAAGTCATCTCCAAGCCAAAACCGGTTTGGCTCAATGGATAGAGCGTCGGACTGCGGACTGAAAGGCCCCAGGTTTGATTCCGGTCCAGGGCATGTACCTTGGTTGCGGGCACATCCTCAGTAGGGGGTGTGCAAGAGGCAGCTGATCCATGAATGATTCTCTCTCATCGATATTTCTAACTCTCTATCCCTCTCTCTTCCTCTCTGTAAAAAAATCAATAAAAATATATTTTTAAAAAAAAGTCATCTCCAAGATACTATGGGTGGCCAAAATGAGTAAGATACACTCCAGGGGTCAAAATCAATTAGAGGACTGTGAACTATTTAATAGAAGCTCGTCAGTCATGCAGTTTTGTGGAAACAGCATGGTCCAGCTCTTAAAAATGCTCCAGCCTTCTGGAGCAGCTGATGCCAACACATACCCAAGGACACACCTGTCCCCTTCGGTGTCAGCTGCCGGTATCTTTTTCATAGAACTCAGATCTGGCCAAGTACTCAGCCAACTATTTACTTAAATGAAGATACAGTGCATTAAATCACATCAGGACAAGTGAACACGTATATACAAAATCTTTATAAATTCACGTTTTGCCAAAAGTGTACAAGCAGTCTCGATTCACTGGGACAAAAATGAATATTCTTGTTCTCCACAGGTCACGGAATGAAACTGTGCAATTCAGAGAAGCTATTCTAGAACCTGAACTAGGTTGGAAAACGGCATTGTGTCACGTTAAAAACGACACACATGGTGAATGTGTTAAATACCTGCTGTAAAACATGTTAAACCTAACAACAGTACTAACCTGCTTGCTAAATAAGGCTGTGATCTATACGAAGCACAAAATTTCCAAAACCGGTTTGACATCTCTACTTATAAATTAATTCACAGGACTCATGTAGCTGCTTTTTAGCGTCCGGGTATTAGCAAAAGTAACACAAAAACGACCCTTGTGCAAGCAACAGATTTACCTTCCTTCCTAAATGAAAACATCAGGTTAGGTTAGATTACAACTTGTTCCCCTCTCCTCCAAAAAAAAAAAAAAAAAAAATCTCTGACATTAAGGAGGAAGGAGAATTTTTTTTATCAGTCCCCAACATCTCTTGCTGTGGCCTCCTGCTATGACTTCCTAACCTCAAGCAACTCAGGGCCTGGCATATGTTTTCCCAGGAATGGATGCATTGGGAAAGGGGAGCCATTGGGGGGGGGGGGGGAGGAGGAGGGAAAGAAGGTGCAAGAAGGCCCAGCTCACGGCTGAGGTGGCAGGACTCAGGGCCCGTGAGCCAAGTATAGGTACCTCCTGCACCAGGCTTCTCAACGTCACTGCCCATTTGGGTAACTGGTTGGCAGACAGCTGCTGGGCATGTCACACAGAGATCGGAGGCCTTGAACAATGCCTCCTTGGCCAGGTTTTACCCGTTGGTGGAAGAGAATGGAGCAGAGAGCGAACATAGTAAAGATCAGCTCTCCTCTCTCAATCTTCCAAACCTCAAGCCCTGTGTCTGAAACACACTTCTAAAATGGCTGTTCTCTCTCCTCGCACGCGTGGAAGAAATCAAGTTCTGCAGACAGCTGCCGTAAAGAGAGGCTCCAAACCCAGCCAGGGAAGCCTGCAGCGCAGAGAAAATGGGTTCCTCCGCAAAAGGCAAAATGTTGTGTTTCAGTTCAGTAACATGCCGGTGTCTCCATACTTCTTAAGGCCAAATCTGGTCTTCCCAGGGAGCGTTAAACTGTTTCCGCTCATTTCCTACTTGGGAGTGGGAGGAGAAAGAGTCAAAAACCTTGCATGACTGAAGGCGAAGCAGCCTCATGTCTGTGTATCAGCTCAGCTGGGATTACGTTTTAAAGGAGGAACCCTGACCTAGAGTTAAGATTTTCTCACATATGGGAACCATCTAAATGTTATGCTGTTAACGTAGCTTAGTGTTATTAGGCTATACTTGTCTTAGACCAATATTGGGTAAGATGGATATTAAAAAAAATAAAAGGCCTCTTTACTTTCCTGCTAACCAGGAGAGAGGTGGCAACCATTCAAGTGTCAATTTCCCTTTCCTGGGAAGAGGTTTAAAAAAAAAAAAAACTTTGCTGCCCTCAGAACTCTTGTCAGTTTCTTGAGAAATCCACATGGCACTCTAATCAGAGCTAAAATGTAAGAGCAGGAAACATATATACAAAACGGAGCACTCCTTCAAGACAGGAACTCTTGCTAATGCTGGGAAAATCACTTACACCGGGAGAGCCCCTTCCTGGGTGAGTGAGGCTAGAGAATCCGGATGTGGCATCGCAGGTGCGTGCTTTATTGACAGACACAGTGCGTGGAGGAGGAGCCGAGGCCCTGGATCCGCACGGGGACCGTGTGCTCAGGTGCTCCTACAGGTTTGCCACAGGGTCCATGTGCACACGCCTGGCTTTGCGAACTAGCCTTTCTCCTGAGAGAGAAAAACCACCTGGCAAATGTAAAGGCCAATGTTTCCCTCCTTCCAATCGAGCCGGCTGTGTGTTGGCTGTGTAAGAACTCAGAAGAACACCGGCCCGGACCCAGCCCCTCCACCATGATGCCGTGCAAATCGTGCCGTCGCAAGAGGCTGCCGGAGAGGCTACACGTTGGTCTCCAGGCCCAGCAAACGCCCCATTCGCTCCACGTTCTTGTCGATGGTGGCCTGACACGTTATCTCCTTGGCACACTCCATAGGAAACCAGCCCCTCTCTCCGTCTCGCAGTCTCTCCCCTTCATACCAGCCTGCGGGGAAGAACAGAGTCCCTCATGAAGCAACGCGTGTCTGGATGTCTTTTCACCGTGCCTGGCTCCAACAAGAAAGGAAGGTGGAGAGGGAGGTGGGACAGAGGGGATATGATGGCTTCCAGGGGAATGGATGACATGATCAGAGGCGCCAAAGTGAGCAGCGGAGACAGTAGGCGAGTTTGGGCCGAGCTGGGGAAGAGGGTGCTTTGGGGAGGGGCAGCAGGAAAAAACAACAACGATTGTCTGGGGATGAGAAGGAAAGAAGGAGAACGTTTCATAGTTCCTTTTGAATAACAAACCACGTGACTGCATCCCTTTTCAAAAAGATGAAAGACGCAGAAAGTGTAGAAAGAAGAGAGGCTGGTACACAAACAAAAACAGACCCAGAGAAAGAGAAGCAGCGATCAGACTGTCAAACCACAGAGGGAAAGTAGGGGAGGGTGGGGGTAAGGGACAGAGATCAACCAAAGGACTTGTGTGCATGCATATGGGCCTAGCCAGTGGCCATGGACAACAGGTGGTGGGGACATATTTGGGGAGGGGTTTGGGATGGGAATGGGGAGATGAGGACAATTATGTGATACCATAATCAATAAAATTAAAAAAAAAAAAAAAAAAAAAAAAAAAAAAGGATAGCCCTAACCCATTTTGCTCAGAGGATAGAGCGTCGGCTGGGGACTCACGGGCCCCAGGTTCGATTCTGGTCAAGGGCATATGTCTGGGTTGTGGGCTCAGTCCAACGTGCAGGAGGCAACCAATCAATGATTCCTTCTCATCATTGATGTTTCTCTCTCCATCTCCTTTCCTCTCTGAAATCAATGAAAAACAAAACAAAACAAAAAAACAAACTACATATATATATATATATATATGTATATATATATATATATTTTTTTTTTTTTTTTCCTTAGAGGAAAACAAAATGGATATGGAAAATGCGCTTGAATAACCAAAAGCAGACTCCTTGGTTCTTCACACCCTGAATGCCCATAAGAACACTTGCACTCACCATCGCTGACACGTTGATAAATGAGGACCACGTCGGCCACCTGCAGGGAGAGCTCGTCCGGCTGCTTGGCAGTAAACGACCTAATGATTTCTACCTGGGTCAGTGCTAGGGAGGAAGGGAACACACTGAGCTTCCAGCAGCAGAGGGAAGACAGAACAGGTACACAGCAATAGCGTTCTCAGTCTTTCCCAAGAGCTCTCATCCTGGGCTAAGAGCTTTCTAACTCAGAAGCTCCGAATCCAGAGAGGCCCTTTAGGATGTAGGAATCCCCTCCAAAATAGCCTTGATGAGGAGCATCACATAATGGGGCAGAAAACAGCCATAGACACTGGGGAAACCGAGATAAGACAGGTTAGATCACGCCTAGGCCATGCAACTGATGATGCAATCCACAGCACGCCCAGCCCTCCAGGCTCTCACCCAAGGTGCTGTCCCCATCAGTAGCAGCACATGAGAGCTGCCTGAGGTTTAGAAATAAAAAGATCTCCAACCAAAAGTTAGGAAACATTTGGAGTTTCCCTGTTATGCTAAACTGTAATAAAGCCATTAACGTCAGTGACTTGGTACGGACAGACGAGACTTCTTAGGTTTTTTTAATACAGAACTTGATTCTATGAACTTTTATTCCAATCCATCCCTTCAGCTTTGGCTCTATGCTTAAAGCTATGACTTCTGAGAGTTCCCGGACAAACAGCGTTGTTGCCCTTTATTCTCTGGGTTTGACTTTGCAGCTAGAACCACCCAGAGAAGCACAATGTCAGGCACTCCTACACCACCCTGGACCACACCAGCTCCTAGTTCTCTAGAAGAATGAGATAGACTTTGTTACTATGATCACTTCAATTAAAAAAAAAAAAAAAAAAAAAAAAAAGGCCAAAAGCAATGGTAAAGCCATTTTCTTTAAGGTTAAAAATACATTTCAGCTTAGATTTAAACAGTCAGTATGGCTTCAACATGCAACCAATGGCCCTAAACCACAGCTAAAAATGCAAGACCTTTTGCAAGTCTAAGCAGAGCTTTCAATGGATATTACTTAATTCCATCTTTCCAATCACCCGGTGCTGTGCTAGTATATATATCATGATGCCTCCGATGCAGAAGGTCAAAGTGGCTAGGTGTGGATATGCCACAATGTACCCCATTTATACAACGAAGAACTGCACCTTGGATTTGAGTTCAGAGTCCCGGACTTCCAGAGCAGGGATCACCTAGCTCTAAAGTAGGACAGGCAGCAGGAAGGAAAGAAATCTGGGGGAGACCATGAATACCCTAGCGTCCAGCAGGGGGCAGAGCCCCTCCACGGCCCGCCTTCCAGCACAGCCAACCCAGGATTTACTTACAGGTCCGGTCAGGAGGCTGCTTCCCACTGCTGTGTCCCAGGGCAGTGATCCAGCGGGCTCGCTCGCTCCTAAACACACAGGGCAGACAAGAGTCAGTTGAGAGACGCAAGGTATTTACCGAGAATGAAGAGTGCAAAGCCACTTCCCAAATAGGGGAGAGATGACAGAGAGAGGTATGGGGCTGACCTTCACAACCAAGGTAGGAGGTTTAAATGGTTATCTGGGATACTTAAACCGTTTTGAATGAATTTGGTTAGCTGTTGATGAAGTGGCACTTCTCATTTGACAGTTTGACCTTTCATAGAGTTGATGACACTTGCATATTGCAATCACAAGAAGATGTTCAGCAACTAATAATGTGAATTAAACATTTCAAAGAAGTAAATTTCCTTAAAAAAGAAAAAAGATCCCACTAAGGCAGTCTCCCTCCATGCCCCCCCACCACCACTTAAACCTTTGCGTAAAAGATGAGAAACTTGATTTATTTAAAGCTGCTTTGTTCCCCCTTCAACTAATATTGCCAAATATGAGCTTTATTGAGACAGAAAATTTTGACCGTTTTTAGGCTGTGCTCAAATGCTTATTAATTCGACTTAGTGAGTACAGCCAAAACTAATTCAAGGCAAAAGACAAGCGAGACTTTTTCTACAACAATAAGCTATATTTACATGAAACAAGATAATTATTTAATGGAAGGATCAAAAGTTTCATAGAAGCAAGCACTACTCCATAATACAGTTCATGGCCTGGAAAAGCCAACTATCGGGATTGCAATGAAATGAACCACATACCCATATACACTTTGAAATCTCTTAAGAAGCATTTATTAAGTCCACACGACGTGGCAGACACAACACTCGACAACCATCCACTGAGAAAGATGGGTCAGAAAGGCCGGTGAGAAAGATGAGAATACTAAGTTCTAACATCCAAGATTCCAACCAAGGTCCATTGCTTCTAGGGCTACTCTACCTTCTTACCTTCTTCATGTTCACTACTTGAAAAACAATTTTCCCCTCCCATCATAGCTTGCATCTAAAAGATGCTTCTTTCTCATTAATACCCCATTTTTAAAAATATACATATTTTGATTTATTTCAGAGAGGAAGGGAGAGGGAGAGATAGAAACATCCATGATGAGAATCACCGATCGGCTGCCTCCTTCACGCCTACTCCTGAGGATGGAGCCTGCAACCTGGGCATGTGCCCTACCTGGGAATTGAACCATGACCTTCTGGTTCATAGGTCAAAGCTTAACCACTGAGCCACACCAGCCGGGCTCTGCCACCCCTTCTTCACCCCCATGTGCATCCAGCCTCCATCCAGACAGAGCAGCCGTTGTCCAGTGCTAGAACACGTCACGTTGCTCCACGCCTTTCCTACTGGCTCTTTTCACTCTCACATACAACCTTCCTGCTGTTCTACCCAGCTAGACCTCTCATAATCGCTAGGTAAAAATTTCAAACTGAAGAACACACATAAAATAAAACACGGCGCTGATCTTACGTGTAAATAGCTTTATGAGTTTCCTTAGGTTTACCCATGTACATGTGCTACCAGGTCAGGAGACGCGCGCCAGATTTCCTTTCATCCCTTTAAGAGGAATCACCTCCCAGAAATGTAACCACTGTTCCGGCTTCTGCCAGCAGGAGCTGGTGCTGTACGAAAATGGAATCCCATGCTGTGTCCGCGTTTGTGTCTGACTTCTTCTGTTCCACACCCCGCTCCCTATTGAAAACACAGCCTCACCTCTTGCAGGCAGCTTCCTCTCATGCGTGCACCCACTCCTCATCCCCATCCCAGTCTGACCCTCCTGTCCCCACACTCCCCTCTGCACACTCCTGGTCCTCATGAAAGCAGGCATCGCCTCTATACGGCTCACCGCCTGGCACACAGCAGGGACTCGGCAAACACGTGCTGACCTATGAAATCATGTATCACTCATCTCACACGGATCCCCCAACATGTGCTGACTTGCCTGTTTCTCTCACCAGGCCACACACTCCAGGAGGGTAGGAACTGGGCCTTGTTCTAAACAGTTTTAATTCCATGACAGCACAGGGCTTTTTGCATTTTGTAAGTACCATCTGATCTATTCCTATAAAAAATCTTGGGGGGGAAATACTGGCTGTGAGATCCTCCCTTCCCCAAATGGTGGGCGGAGTTATGACATTACTGGCATCTGCCACAGAGACATCCCCAAGACATTGAACCACCAATCAGAGCATGCCGAAGTGCTCTCTGGAGCCCACACTTCCTGTTCCATCCTGGGTCCAACCCTTTCCTGTTCCTCCCCTCAAAAGGCTCCCCCAGCCCTCTACGTGCTGTTCTCTCCATCTCCGTCTGTGGAGGCAGCCTGGCTGGGTCCTTTCTCCTCTCCCCGTCCTTTAATTATGATTTCTCTACCTCCCTAATGAATCCCACTCATTACCGGGGAATAAACCTTCCTTTAATATGTCTTGATGGTCAGTTCCCTGCCCCTCAAACCTTACACTGGCATGATTACGTCCATATTCCCAGAGGACAAAGCTGACGTTTGGAGTGTGAAGTGCCTGCTCACAGTATAACAGCCAAGAAGCGGTCAGGCCGGCATGGCTCAGTGGTTGAGCATTGATCTATGAACCAGGTCACCGTTCAGTTCCTGGTCAGGGCATATACCCGGGTTGCAGGCTCGAACCCCAGTGGGGGGCATGCAGGAGGCAGCAGATCAATGATTCTCTCTCATTATTGATGTTTTTATCTCCCTCTCCCTTCCTATCTGAAATCAACAAAAATATATTAACAAAACACACCAAACAAACAAACAAACAAACAAACCACATCAGACAAACTCCAATTCAAGCAGTGCAGTCAGAAGGGAAAGCCAGGTGATCTGGGGTCCGTGAGCTGGGATCCCCTAGTGGGCGCTCACGGCATAAAGAAAAGGCGGGAAGCGCGGACACCGGAGGGTGCAGACAGACAGACTTCTTTACAAGAGGAGGAGGAGACTGGACTCTGTGGGCTGGGGTGTCGGCAGTAACATACACAAACTTAAACAGCACCCCCCATGCTGCCCGGCTTTTCAAACCATTCAAAGGGCTTCAGGATGGTCTTTTATCAGGAACACGAGAGCATCCTTTCCTTTAAAACAACCCCAAGCAAACACTTCCATCTGTGATATCATCTCTTTGTGGGGTACCCATCTACTTATTTAATTTATTTTTTAACTCAGGCTCAACTGGAATTTGCAAAGCACCAAGGAAACCGAAAACAAAGCATCTTACCGGTGGAAGGACTGCTCACCAAGAGAAAGCTAAAATGGCCCATCTGCGTTCTCTCTGCGCCCCGTCCACCAGCCAGCCCCCTCGGTGGCCCGCGCCGTGGCCTGCGCCGTGGCCCCCGCTGCTGGCGGCATCCTCCACGTCAGGTTTCCCTGGCACGGCTCTGCCCTGGCAGCCAGCGGCCGCTCTCAGCCGGGCCTCCCCTGCAGCCAGTTTCCAGAGGCCCAGATGAAACCCTTCCCTCCGGTGGCAGGCTGCCTGGACGCTAATGCACCGCGCAGACACGGCGGCCCCTCGCAGGGGCTCTGGGGGACAGAACAAGACGCTCCTTGTTGCCCTGGCTGAAAGGGGCCCCTTCTTGAAATGGCTTCAATGGAATAGATGCTGTCAGAACCTCACGACTTCCCCCAGGGCCTCCAGGAGGCCTGCCAAGGGCCCCCCTTCACTCCCCCCGCTTGTCCCCCGCTCCCCATCGGCTAGCAGAGAGCACATTCTCCTCTCACACAGGGGGGCGGCACTCCACAAAAGATGACGGGAGTCTAAGAACAAGACAAACCAAATTTGAAACATAGATATCAAGTCCGGGGCTGATTCCAGACAGCTTTTCTCGGGGGACAGTATGAACGCATCAACATGAAGTCACAGGGCCCCCCACACCCAGTTCCCAGACTTGTCCGTTGGCCCAAAGTGTGAGAATCAACAGGGCTGCCCTCCTGGGGACCTGGGCATATCCACCTCTAAGGCTCTGCGGCCGTTCCTTTATCCACATTCACGGAGCGCCGGCCTGTGCCAGGGTCTGTGCCAGGCTGAGGCTGCCAAGCGACTAAACAGGCTCTGCTGCTCTTCCTAGGCCTCAGCGTGGAGCAGACGGAGCAGAAAACCAACCCCACGCAAAGCCATGGGCCCGGGCAGAGGGCTTTGCATAGCACACGTGGCCTGGAGAGGGGGAGAGGGTTAAGTTGAGAAGAGGCGCATTTCACATAGACATCTGTCCGTGCCATCCTTTCAAAACCCCCACATTCCCTGTGCAAGGCGTGAACGGTGCAAGCACAGCCCCCTGAGACGGCACCTCCTCCTGCCTCACACAGCATTCATGAAAAACACAGTCCATCAAAACTTAATTGCACCCGATTCGAAGATACAGCAGAGCTGGACTTCCCTTGAATGCGAGGCATCGGCTAGAAAAGACAGATAAGTCCTGAGAAAGTGCAGAGGCGGCTTTGACACGAAGAGGCAAGGCTCAGGATGAGGCTGAACGGCATGGAATGCCCACCAAGGACCTGACCCCTGACCGGGTCCTCCGGACCTTTCCGTGGAGGCTGCGAGACCCAGCGGCTGCCTCACCTTCCTTTCTTACAATGGCATTTGATCAGATACCTTTGGGGTTCCTTCTCAAGGCCTAGACTTTTACCTGTGGTGCCTTTGGAAATTCATATATACCCACAGCCTTTGGTTAAAAGTCCCCCAAGCATGAGTAACGAGTAAGACAGTGGAGATGCTGTTTTGTTCACTCTGACACTCAATTCAACTACCATATTTTCTGGCGTATAAGACGACCCCCTAATTTTACAGTTAAAACATAGGTTTAGGCCTATATTCGCTGTATAAGACTACACCCCACCTCCGAGGCAACACCAGTTCTTTTTTTAATAGACTGCCTCTCTGACTCTGGCCAATCTGAGCAGGCTTTTTACTAGAACACAGTGTAGCTTCGGGTACAGAACATGTATAATTTGCATGCATAAAAAGCCTGCTTGGATTGGCCAGAGTCAGAGAGGCGGTCTATTAAAAAAAGAATTGGTGTTGCC